CCTACCACCAATCCCAACAGGTCCTCACTAGAAGCAACCCAACTCAATGATATTTCCCCATTGACAATTACATTTTTATCTCTGTCAGCCAGTTCTTAATCTATTTGACATGTGCTTTAATATTATATATAGTAAATTTTTAATCATACTGTTGTGTGACAGTTGTGTGTTTCACTGATAAAGGTCATCTCAAAGAATAAAATCAGGTTTCTTTGACCAGACTTATATTCCATAAAACCATGCGGACTACCATTAATCGTATCCTTTGATTCTTTATCAGCTGAATCCCAGATCAGTTTTTCCATTATTTTGCCCAACGCTGAGCTCAGGCTAGCCACCCTATAGTTACCTGGGTCATCCTGCTTGCCCTTTCTTAATACTGGTATAACATTAGCACTCTTCCAGTCTTCTTCAATTTCTACAGTATTACAAGATTTATTAAAAATTATCAGCAGGCCAGAGATGATCTCAGCAAACTCTTTTAGTACTCTCATGGGTACATGTTATCCAGGCCTAGTGATTTAACAATGTTTATCACTAGTAGATATTATCTAACATCCTCCTAAATTACTATTGGACTGGAAAGTATATCATCCTTATTAATATGAGTATATCATCCTGTTTCTTTCCAAATTCAGAACAAAAATATTTATCAATACTTCTTCCTTTTCTGCAAATAATTTTACCCTCTATCTAGTAACAGACCTATACAATAGCCAGAATTTCTTTGGTCCTAGTATACTTAAACACCTCTCTATTGTCCTTAGTTCTGCCAAGCATGGCTTGTCCCTTAATGTCTTTAGCTTCCCTTATTAACCTTCTCCACTTCATAAATTCTAATTTATACGGATTGCTATTTCCAATTTCTGCCTTAACTTCACCACTGAATCTAGATGGGATTTTTGCCAAAGTTATACTCTTTCTTGTGAAATTGTGGAATTTTGCCCATCTAATAAACTCTTGCTTAAAAACACCCAGTTTTCATTCACATTTTTCTATCTAAATTTTTCCTCCCAGTCAATTTCTCTCATAATTTTCCTCATCTTTGGGAAATTAGCCTTTTTGAGGTACCAAGTTTATCTGTTACTGATTGGGACTGTCATCTGCCCATACTGAATGTGATCAGGTCATGATCACTGTACCCACCAACTTCCACTTATCTATCATGAGGCGGCAACTCTATTTTGGAGATGTTGGGTACAATACTTTTTGTGTTAGACAACCATCTATAATTTTTAGAAATTCATGTTTTACTGCTGACTTCATGAGATCTCCACCATATGCCTCTGTAACAGGCTATACTGGTCATTTAAGCACAGAGAGGGCCAGAGAACCCTGTTTCAGGAAGGCCGGAACAAAAAAAAAAAAAAAAAAAGCCTAGAAGTGGCCAAACACAGAGCAAGAGAAAGGAAGCAATCCCAAGGGGATTAGCATGTAGGGAAAATCCAGGCTCTCTTTAAGGGCCTGGGACAAGCAGCCCTACAGTGTAGGGTGCAGCAGGGCTTCTGTCTCTCTCAGCCAACTGAGATGAACAGGGAAGGAGGGCTGAGGACTCCTGATCCCAGATGAGAGAGATCCCAGTCCTTTAGTCTGGCCCCAAAAAGAGAGAGATAAACTCCTGATCCAAGGAATGAACTCTAACCCAGTCAAAGAAAGGAGAAACTGTTTAATTAGCTAACCCAATCCAGGAGTGCAATGGATTCCTGATCCAAGGAGGAAAAGCATTTTTCTCCTAAACATGCTCTGAGATAGAGCTGTGGATTCCTGAGGCAAGGGGGAAGAGGCTACTTTAGTTGTACCCAGCTCCCAGAGGAGGGTAATACGCTACTATACTAACAGCAGGGATCTGAAATGTACACCACCCGGGGCGAAGGGCTGTAGACTCCTGGTTCCTGGAAAACAACTAATAGAGTTATTACCTGGCTAAGAAATCTACCTGAATACTCACACCAACCCCAGAGGGCCCTGAATGAAAAAGGTTGAGAGGGAAACTGAGGCAGGGCACCACTTCAGGCCACGTGGGGCATGCTGAAGGAGACCACTGTACTACAGTATCCCAACCTGAAGTCCCCCCATTACAGCGCAATTTTACTTTCCCTCCATTAGGGCAGATACTTGAGTAGTAACTCACTCTGTTCTCTGGTTTGACTCAGTCATCTGTAACTTGACCCCCACTGGTATCCCCTCCTGGGCTTTGTTTGTTAGCACACTGATCCATATGAATGCATGGATTCATTCATATCAGTAACTAGCAACCCATGTGTCAAGGTTTCTTCCCCACTCTGAACTCTAGGGTACAGATGTGGGGACCTGCATGAAAAACCCCCTAAGCTTATTTTTACCAGCCTAGGTTAAAACTTCCCCAAGGTACAAACTATTTTACCTTTTGTCCCTGGACTTTATTGCTGCCACCACCAAGCGTCTAACAAAATATAACCGGGAAAGAGCCCGCTTGGAAACATCTTTACCCACAAAATCCCCCCAAGCCCTACACCCCCTTTCCTGGGGAAGGCTTGATAAAAATCATCACCAATTTGCATTGGTGAACACAGACCCAAACCCTTGGATCTTAAGAACAAGGAAAAAGCAATCAGGTTCTTAAAAGAAAAATTTTAATTGAAGTAAAAGTAAAAGAATCACCTCTGTAAAATCAGGATGGTAAATACCTTACAGGGTAATCAGATTCAAAACAGAGAATCCCTCTAGGCTAAACCTTAAGTTACAAAAAGACATAAAAACAGGAATCTACATTCCATTCAGCACAACTTATTTTATAAGCCATTTAAACAAAACAGAACCTAACGCATATCCAACTAGACTGCTTATTAACCCTTTACAGGAGTTCTGACCTGCATTCCTGCTCTGGTCCCGGCAAAAGACACACACAGACAGAGAGAACCCTTTGTTCCCCCCCACGCTCTCCAGCTTTGAAAGTATCTTGTCTCCTCATTGGTCATTTTGGTCAGGTGCCAGCGAGGTTATCTTTAGCTTCTTAACCCTTTACAGGTGAAAGGGTTTTTCCTCTGGCCAGGAGGGATTTAAAGGTGGTTAGCCTTCCCTTTATATTTATGACACCATGTTATTTTGCAAACACAAAATAATAAAATGAAAAACTCACCCACACAGCTGGCTGCAGCAAGTTGGGCATAGCTCCCCGCTCCAGGCTTCATGACCTAGCACACAGGGTCACAGCATTACTCACTCAAATTTGGCCCAGTTGTCCCTCTGTCATGGCAGAGGGGCAACCGGCCCAAACCGGAGTGGTGCTGCAACCCCATGTGGAAGGTGATGCCCAGAGCAGGAAGCCTGGCCCAGCCCCTCAGGACAAGAGTCACCTCTGCCGAATGAGCGCAGGGGGCTTGCTCGGCAATCCCGCATCCCGCCTCCCTCACAGTGGCAGGACCCCAACCCTTCCCACACCCACAGGGATAAAATGGATAAAACAAAACACTAAATTCACAAAAAATAAAGTGAAAAATTATTAAAAATTCCTACCAATTTTAAAACAGGAAATGGTGTCTTTAAGAGCAACAGCCCAGTATTTATTAATCAGGAAGTGGGAAGGGCTATTATGATTCATTAATTGGGGAGCGTGGGAGAAGAGTTTATTAGTGGCTGAGAGAAGAAAAGCCTTTTCCCATGAGCAAAGCAGGATGTGCTGTTATCCACTTTTACTTGGGTTCCCTTCCCATCCCCCTTTTTTTTTTGTAGTTTGTGGCCATGACAGTATGTATAAATCCTGAAGGATCTCTGACCCCCACCCCACTAAATCAAGGTGGCACAATTACTGTCCCTGTTGGTTCAACATCTCAAAAAGGGATTATAAAATTTAGGAAGTGTATACGGTGGAGAAAAAAAAAAAAAACAGAAGACTTTTCAAAATGGAATTTACATGTTAAAGTATTTCCCCTGAATATAATATCCCCATCTTCACTTAGACCCCTTTACAAATGGTTCTAGCCTAAATTAAGAACAACTCTTTTATTGCATGGTGCTGTTATCACATTATTGGAAACTGCAATTATCTTCAGAGGAGTAATTTAGCAACATAAGCATCTCCACAACTAATTCACTGGCAAAAGGTACCTGCGAGTAAGGGTTCATCTCAAAACACAATATTAAAAGGAAGTTTACAATCAATCCTGCACTCAAGAACAGTGCTATCCAGTTGGTTACCTCCACTCCCCCCCAAAAACACAGGATTTCTTCGATATTGAAGTGTCAGATTCATTTTTGAGGCTATATTTGTTGAGCATCAATCTATGAGATTTTTCTGTGGATACATTAAGATATACTGTAATTGTGTAACCTCTTTTCCCATGGAATCCAACCACCATGTTCAATGGTTCAATCACTGCTGATGAGGAAGTACTTAGGAAGAAATGAATTCCTCTTAAGTTTTTCCTCTGGAATTGTCAAGAGGATTTCCTTATGTTTTATAGGACATGGCCCCTCTTCCTGTGGGGAATTCATGTTTAGCTAATTCTCCAGAATTCTAATATATAAAAGGTGTTTGCATGGTGACCAAGGTAGAAGATGCCATTTTCAAAACTGTTGAAACTGTTTTTGAAAGGCCATAAGGTTTTCTTCCAACAAAAGGCAGCTGCCACAGAGAAATCAAAAGTGATCCCTACACAAAAGACCAGACTGAGTTAAGGTTGATTACCTCTCTAATTATCCGCAGCTGTGTGATAACAGGAAAAAGTATCAGACCACAGATACTATGCTAATGTCAACATCTTACTGTGACAAAGGAGAGACTACAGGAGGTTGGAGCCATGAATCTTTTTGTAACCTCCCTCTAATCTGTCAAATACATGAGGAGATGTGTAGTACAGTCTCAACAGAAACAGCTTTTATAGACTGGCATAATCTCATAATATAAATAGTTTATATATCCCAAGAACGGAAATATCCAGAAGTAATTTTCAAAAGGTGAGTTTTATGACAGTTTGCAGTCTCACATAAATTGTATCTAATCAATACCAAGAAAACCATACCTTCATCTTTATACTTTATTGTGACTTCATCATTGCTCAGAAGTTTTCCTCTGAAAACTCTCTGCATCATCAGCACTAGCTCATCATAGGTGATGTCCTCATTATGAATAGGAATTCTCCTAATATCCTCCCCCAGCTGAGCTTTAATAATCAGCTTCCCACTTAAATCCAGCTGTCCGTTCATGGTGGACTCCAGATCTCCTATAGACCTGTTAACAAAAAACATTTACACAACATCTTTTAGAAGATTATTTGTTTCACAACCTCCACAGTCCTATACAATACACAGTTCTGTAACTTTCTGGATTTCAGAAACATTATTGTGAAAATATGCTCTAGAGCAGCTTTCTTGGGTACATCTATGCAAAACTATGTTCTCTCAATTGTTAATTTATTAGCCATTTCACAACTGTTCAAGTGCAAAATGGAGATTTACAAAATGAGATATTTAAAAACAATCTTTGCTCTGTGTTTTAAGCCAAATTTTGAAGTTCTGAGATGAAATATAGGCTTTTTACTGCCCACAAAGCTACGGGGAAAAAATTATTTTTGTTCAAAATGTAGCTTTTACCCTGTTATGATGTGTGCCTTCAAGTAGATATATTTACATGTAAAATAATTCAGGGTTTGTATTTGAGAGATACGTGCATTTCATGGAGACTAGGAACACTGCAAAAGCACTTTGCCTTGATAAATAAAAAAGGCATGTATGATCATCTCTATAGCTATTTCTATGGGACCCACAAATATGGTATCTCACAGCCACAAGTAATGTAGATAAAATGCAAAGCAACAATGCTTGTTATTGTTTTGGAGAGTGGAGGAGATTTGGCAGAAGGAGAGTTTGGAAGGAGGATCAAATTGGGATGTGTGTCACTCTGGATGCAAGCGAAAAAGAGGAAATGTGCCATCTAAAAACTGGTTTCATTGTAAGTGGCTAGATCACACTTAAGCTTTCCTGCAAAACCAGTACATCTGATTACTAATGCATGTGTCATGTTTTAGGATGCAACCAATAAAGAGAGAAAACTACATCAAACCTATTTTTCACAATGGGTTTTTTTAAAATAAGCAAAAAATAACCTATTTAAGTTATTTTTAAATTTCAGCTTTGTTTTCAGCCTTTTTTAAATTCCCAAATTCGTTGAGAAGTTAAATGAAGGTAGAAAGCTTTCTTATGTAGTTATGAAGCTTATAACTATTCCTATATTAGGAGAGCAGTGTCTAAATCAGTAGTTGTAACTTCAATGAAAGTTTGGACTTTAACGTTTGAGTTAATTTTTATTTCAATAAAAATATACAGCTTGAAAATTACTACTTTGCCTGAAACACCAAATTTCAGAAAAACATCAATCAGAAATCCTCAGCAAGAAATGTTAACGCAAAAGAAGTATAGAGTACGAAAGGTTTTGTTTGCCAAAAATATTTCATTATACCACTGTGCAGAAAAATGTTTCTCAGGATAGGCGTGCAAAGGAAGCCTGGGAAAAGAGCCTGGGGAACACCGTTCTTCTCTCTCCAGATCCTTGCATAATGTCAGGGAACGCCAGGCTCCGGAGTGGGAGGAAATAAGAGGGATTTCTTCATTATCCTGATACCTTCAGAGGAGACCTGAGAGAGTTCAGAAGTTAGGAAGTCTTACAATTCAAAACCCCTGCTGCCAAAGAGGTAGGCAGACAGGAAGGTGTACTGAAGAAAGGGAGGGGCCATGGCTTGGGTATTCTTGATTCTTCCCAATTTCCTTTGAAAAAATCCTTATAGGCACATGCAGAAGACTAGATAAACACTTTTTTTTTCTTCTTAAGAACATACTGTTTAAAGCGTATTTATTAGAAACTTGCTGAAGTTGATCAATTTTAAAAGTTTTCAACATGAAGAACGTCTCTTTCACTTTACATAATAAGAGAAAAGTTTTTCTAATAAGGCCTTAAGTACGTTAATCTTGATGCTTCTCCACATATTTAGCCCAGTGTTTTGACATCTAACAAGAAACCAAACTATACTGTGATGCTACAACACAAGTGGGAGTACTAAGGCCTTAACTCAGGACTTCTGTTCTTTTGTGATTTCATCTGAATCTAACAGGTTTTCCTATACAAGAGGCAATAATATTGTTCTGACTGATGTGCTTACTATATGGCGGCTTTCAAAAAAAAAAAAAAGCAAACAAGCAGCTATCTTACAAAGGTCACTTTTTCTGGTAGTTCAGAAAAGGGGATGGGAATTAGACAGGCACAGAGAGTGTGCTACTGTATTATACAGCCCTCTTCACTGCACTCAGAGTACCCTTCAGACACATTCGCTGAGCAACATACTGAAGCTTGTACCACGGCTATGGCATTGTTCATGCTTTTTGGACAGGGGAATTTACACTCCAGGACTTGTGAGATGTGATGAGTTATTGGAAAGAAGTGTTATGAAAACTGTTTTTATGACATTCATATCACCTCTAGATCTTCCTTTACTTCCTTGCCACCAATATCTAACAGTAATTACCTTGTCTTACAGATTTGCTAGACTGTTTTTCAGGTTCCCTGCTTCACTTCCAGCTGGTGTTCAGAGGTCCCGCCATGCACTACCAGAAGCGATGCTGATCAGTGATAGATTATAGATAGGGCATGGAATCTGCATCAGAAAACCAAGAAGCGTTAACTTATTGTGAGCCTTCACTGCAGCTACGTGCTTTCCACATCATCCAACTTGGCATGTTACAGGGAAGAAACAAAGAATTTACTTTAACAATTTGATATTTAAAGTCTGAGTAACAGTGAAGATTGTATTTCACCCATAATATACCAGCTTTCATAATTTTGCTTGACAATTGCTAACAGTCTAGACTTTTCTGTCTAACACTTTCAAAACAGACATGATAAAAGGGGTCATCACCCAAAATACACATACATTGTTTAAACATCTGTTCTAGTAACCTCCATCTTCTCAACATCCAAAAATAGATTTTAAAAAATTAAGTTTAAATTTTAGATTGAATTTGCAATATTATAGCCCAGGCCTCAACTTCCTGATTAAAGGGTGGAGCTGCTCTGACATTAAATGAAAGTCCTCAGGACAGCATGAGGACAGGGATTCTTTGGAGCAGAGAAATGCTAATGTCACTTTTCCACAGGAAAAAGAGCTAAACTGGACAAAAGGAAGTATAGTGGCAATCGTGGCCAGAGAGCCACAGCCACTGAAAGGAAGATGGCTCTTTAGAAAAGAGAGATAAGGGACAAAGGGAAAGGTGGGCAAGAGAGGAATGCCTTCCTGCCCCACTACCAGGAGACCTTCATTCCCTTTTGGTAGGTTACTGCAGCTAGCCCTGCTCATGGGCTCTTTCCCTAAGTGACAGATTTACAACTCCCTTTCTACAGACAAGCAACTGTTACAGGGGTAGAATGAAGCTAGTGAAAGTTCCATGGTGCTACTGCTAGAGAAAGGTGAAAGATAAATGACTCCTGCTACAGAGACAAGGAAAGGGTAATGAAACATGAACCAGTTCAAGGACATTTTGTTCACTCCCCTAACTGAAGCTGACGACAACTGTCAGCAGCCCCAACTCTCGCCTCTCTGGCTGTCTCCATCTAGACTCACAAGAAGACAGAGGGACTAGAGATCCCAGCCCCCTCTAGTCAGTCAATGCTGGCTTCTTTGTATATAGAGAAAAGGGGTGGGGGCAGGGCAGTGTCACTCCACACATTGCACTCAGTTTTTAGTAGGGTCTCCAGTTGTCTAACCCTCACGCTGCTCTGAAAACGTTCCTTCATTATGTCAGAGCAGCACCAACAGCTCTTGTTCCCAACCAGGAAGTGGAGACAAGGACTATAAAATTACAAATTTTATCTCAAATTAACTTTTTTTTAAGTTATATATGTGCATGTGTATGTACGTAGTGTGCTCTGGCATGAGAATCACACTTTAACCTTACTAGCAACCATAAGAACCAACTCTATAGCCTGGAATCCCAGAGCTAAAAGTGGCCTCCAGATACATGGAGTGTACCACTGCATACATTCTTAGGGAAAATCAACTACAGTAACATGCTTACATAAGCACTTTAGCTTATTTGCTAAGATTACTCATGGAAATTCACTTCATATGTCTCACACAAAAAGAGAAGTTTCAGAGTAGCAGCTGTGTTAGTCTGTATTCGCAAAAAGAAAAGGAGTATTTGTGGCACCTTAGAGACTAACAGATTTATTTGAGCATAAGCTTTCGTGAGCTACAGCTTCACTGGATGTGAGCTGTAGCTCACGAAAGCTTATGCTCAAATAAATCTGTTAGTCTCTAAGGTGCCGAAAGTACTCCTTTTCTTTTTACAAAAAGAGAACAAGAAGAAGCTTCTAACTGCAGTTGGTTGTCCAACTGTTCTCCACCCTGCATGAGGTAATTATATAGGATTTAAAAGAAAAATCCTGATGATTGGATCTGTTTAATTGTTATAGAAAATGATGCAAGCTGTTTTACTGTTGAGATGTACAGCATTCACACTGTATTTTCTTTCTGTGTGTCTATGACGTAGCTAAATGTCAGATTTCCTTAAGGAATGCTGATATGCTTCAGATAGTGATAAACTCTCTCTACTTTGTCTTAAAAATTCAAACATTCTAAATAAGATGATAAAATCATCACATTTGAATAAGGTAATTTTTCACCAAAAATTTCTTGATATTTCTCCATAATTTCTTACCATATTTGTTAATGACTAAGAATTCTCCCTCCTTCATAGCCCATCTCCCATTTGCATCTGGTAATTAAATCCATACTAAATTTGTGACCTCACAATCATTTCTATAGCTAACCGATATCATAATCCTCTGATTTGCCTGCAGGTTCATATAGCAGAAGCAGAGCTAGGAGCAGGGAAACATTAAGCCCTGCTAAACAAAGCATTAAAAGACAAAACACTCCTTGTCAGAGAGACTTTTCTCACTGAACTAAAAAGATAAGTGAGGCAACAGAAGAGCAAAATGAATATGGGTTTGTCTACATTGTTTGTGAAATTTAAACCAGAACAAGGAGGGGTGAGAGGTAAAAGCAGAGCAGATTAGTTATTCCCAATTAACTACACGTATGGACATTCATATTATGGAGTAATATGTATTATGTAATGTATAAAGTAATATGGATTAGCTCCCAGCACTTGGGAGGCTGTTCACACTAGCGCTTTAAAGCGCTCTGACTTGCTCCACTCAGGGAGGTGATTTTTTCACATCCCTGAGCCAGCAAGTTAGAGCGCTATAAAATGTAAGTGTAGCCAAGCCCTAACACACCATAGCATAGACGCTTCCTACATCAACGGAAGGAATTTTTCTGGGATATAGTGACTCCACCTTTATGAGAGACACAGCATCTACACCAGCGGTTGGGGGTGACCCTAACCACCCCATGCAGGGTGCACAATGTGTTGCAACCCTGAGTGAGGCACCTGGGTCGCTCTAATCTTTAAGTGTAGACTGGCCTAAGAGGGCCTGATTCTGAAGGAGCGTGAAGTAGCGAATCAGGCCAGACGCGAACACAGCACGCAACTCCCGTGTAGACAGGCCCTAAGAACGGGGCCAGGCCCACAGCGGCTCCCGGGGCTCTGGAAAAGTCAAACTGACCAGATGCACGTGAACTTCACAGAGATTTGGGGGGGCGGGGGGGGGCAGCAGCTGGCTCCTCTTTCCCCTCCCCCAGCCAGCGGGCCTGACCCCAGGAGCAGCAGCCAAGGCATTTCGCCCCGGAGCGCTACTGCGGGCTGTGCTGGGAGGCTCCCCTGGCCCGGGGCGGGTGGGGGCGCCTGGGGGGGGGGGGGGACGACAGGGCGGTAACACCCCCCTGCCCTGGCGGGGGAGGGGCCGAGTTCATCCCCGGAGAGCTGGGGGTGGGGGGATATTTTACAGGGGCCTCCCCGCGTCCCAGACCCCACGGGGGAGGCCGGGCCGGGCCGGCCAGGAACGGGGGGCGGGGCCCGCGTCAGGTCCCCTGGCGCGTCCCCGCCCCCCATTCAGCCCCGGCGATGCATGCGACGAGGCCCCGCTCCCCGCCCGCTTACTCCGGCTTCTCCTCCGTGTGCGGTGCCGCGCGCGTGGTAGCCGCGGCTCCGGCCCGGGCCCGATCCCGATTCCGATCCCGCCGCCGCCGCCCGTACGTACGTGGCAGGGGGGAAGGGCTGGATCTCGGCCGGTGCCACTGCCGGGCCGTCGCGCAGGCGCACTCACCCCGACGGAGGCTGATGGCGGCCGGACGGCGCGCGCGCAGTGATGGAGCGAAGCGCCTGAGCAGGCCGGACCAGACGAAGGAGGCCGCGCGTGCGCGGTCAGTGATCTCTGGGTCCCATTCACAGCAGAGCCGGCCTGAGCTTTACGCGTGCGCCGGCGCGGCGACGGCAAGGGCACCAGTGCGCATGCCTAGTAAGAGAACCCGCCGTCGCCAGTCGAAGCTGCGGCTGCCCTTATGGGGAGCGAGCAACGCCGGGTTCCACGCATGCGCCGCACCAGCTGCCATAGCGGCGGTGATTGTGTAGCAAGGGGAGTGCCCCGTAGCATTGTTTGTGCCACAGTGATGTGGAGAGGCGCGGCCTCTGTGCTGGGCGCTGTACAAACCTGTCACAGAGAGACCGCTTGGGGGGCAGAGGGCGAGGTACTGAGACCTGGCGGGGGTGGGAGCAGAGGCGGCAGCTAGCCCCAGGCTGGGAAGGAGCTAGGGTGGCCACTCGTGCATTCCCCGAATACCAGACGTCCCAGTACTGCCCAAATGGCACGGGACCCACCATGCAAGTGTGACCTTGCATGCACAGTGTGTATCTGCGTCTGCTCCACGGCACTAGAGCCACATACTGGCAGGTTACATGGCATGGTCATGCCAGCAGCAGGCAGCACGTGCTCTCCATTCTGGTGTCCAGCATCTACCAGACTAAACCACCCTCTCCCACCTTCCCAGTTCAATCTGCGCCTGCCATGTGAGTGCCTGCTCTAGTGCCGTGGAGCAGTCTCAGACAATTGCTACAAAGAATCATAGACTATCGGGGTTGGAAGAGACCTCAGGAGGTCATCTAGTCCCACCCCCTGCTCAAAGCAGGACCAATCCCAACTAAATCATCCCAGCCAGGACTTTGTCAAGCCTGACCTTGAAAACCTCTAAGGATGGAGATTCCACCACCTCCCTAAGTAACGCATTCAGTGCTTCACCACCCTCCTAGTGAAATCATTTTTCCTAATATCCAACCTAGGTCTCCCCCACTGCAACTTGAAACCATTACTCCTCGTTCTGTCATCTGCCACCACTGAGAACAGGCTAGGTCCATCCTCTTTGGAATCCCTCTTCAGGTAGTTGAAGGCTGCTATCAAATCCCCCCTCACCCTTCTCTTCTGCAGACTAAATAACCCCAGTTTCCTCAGCCTCTCCTCATAAATCATGTGCACCAGCCTCCTAATCATTTTTGTTGCCCGCCGCTGGACTATCTACAATTTTTCCACATCCCTTCTGTAGTGGGGGGACCAAAATTGGATGCAATACTCCAGGTGTGGCCTCACCAGTGCCGAATAGAAGGGAATAATCACTTCCCTCAATCTGCTGGCAATGCTCCTAATACAGCCCAATATGCCATTGGCCTTCTTGGCAACAAGGGCACACTGCTGACTCATATCCAGCTTCTCGTCTACTGTAATCCCCAGGTTCTTTTCTGCAGAACTGTTGCTTAGCCAGTTAGTCCCCAGCCTTTAGCCGTGCATGGGATTCTTCCTTCCTAAGTGCAGGACTCTGCACTTGTCCTTGTTGAACAACAGCAACAGAAGTTCTAGAGGCAGTAGCAAGAAGAATTCTGTCACCGTAGCTGCATCTACAGTGGAGGATAGATTGACTTAAATAACAGCACTCAGGGTGTGAAATTTTTCACAGCCTTGGGCTATGTCACTAGCTTGACCAAAGTTTTAGGTGTAGACCTGACCAGCTCTCAGCAGGGTCTAACAGTAAAACCCTAGTAGCAGAGTAGTGGGGAGGCACTGGGACTGCAAGTCACTCAGACTGAAATGGGGAGGAAGTAGAAAAAGTGTTTTAAAAATAAGCTAAATTTGCTATAGGTTTTCAATTCTAAATGTTACTTAATAAGAGAGGATTAATAGTCCAGGTGGCTTCCCCTGAAAAAATGTTAGAAAATATAGATTTCCAACACCAAACATAGGTCACACCTCTTTTGTTGGTCACTGCCACCAGACACACATACACACTCACTCTCTTCTAGTCAGACTCTCTCCCTCCCTCATTTATCATACCTTTGGTCAGATAATTCAGCCCTTCCGCCCAAATTTGTGGCTTTTATGGACGCAGCACTTCCTGTTAGTTACCAGCAAGAAACTTTACCTCTTTAACATCTACATTGTAGAGCATATCAAAGTTCAGCACCATTAGTAAGATCACTGTGTTCCACGTGTAGATAAGCGTTGAACATATTGCTCTTAAACACATGCTGCTAAGAAAAGATTTTATAAAAGAATAAACTTTGGGTTCAAAAACATTGACTCCCTACCATCTTTCAAAGGGAGTTGAAAATGGTTATTGTGCTATTGTGAGGAGGATCCAAACCATTGAATACAAATTGTTGCAATACTTCATTCAACACTGCAGGTCTCTAGCCACAATGTGTCCAGCATGCATCAATACCAAAGCCAATTCCTCGAACAGAAGGAATCATGCCAATTCTTTTGAGGGGCTTTGTTGTTCATTTTGGGGTCTATAAAGAGAGGAAAATTATTTCTAGATTTAAATAATCTACTCTCAAATGTACAATGCAAAAATGATCTGATGTCATTCTATAGAATAACTACATTTTTGTCCAAAAATTAAATAAATTTGAATAAAGCTTGAGCGGTATTATTACACTCATCATAAAGACCAATCACCACTGTATGAGTGTGCTTTTCCTGGCTTTCAGTAAAAACAAATGTTTTCCTCAATAATAATAATAATTTGCTGACAGAGCACCCTTCTTCCAATGATATCAAAGGGATTTATAACACTAGGTATTAAGGACCTCCTTTTACAGTCGGAGAAACTTATACACAGAAAATTAAAGTGTCTTGTCCATAGGGAGTGTGATAGAGTATATGCATGATAGTACAATGTGGACAACTACCTTGCAGTTTAAGTGCTCCTCACCACCTTCCTCCTAGTAGTGATAGTGGGTTCCAGCTTCATACCTGACATAACTGCTTTTGTTTAAAGGGTCCCCAATCTAAAGGAGATGTCTACCTTCTCCCTCCCACCAATACTGTGGTTTGCTGGAGGCTAGAGAGGTTTTCAGGCCAAAAGGACCCTCTCTTTGTTATTGGCTGAGCTCTATTTCAGAATTATCTGTCACAGTATGTGTATAGGTGTATGGTCTTTTGAAAGACTTCCGTCAAGGCATGGTTCTGTGTATCCCCAAAGGTTACCCACCAAGGTTCAGATCATCATATTGGGTCAAGACCACTACCCAATATGAGGCAGCTTGGGAGTTTGCAAAGCATGCCATCGTGTTCGTTTCACTTTAGTTCAATTAAAAACCAAAAGAGGGAAGGGGGGAGAAATGTACAAATTGTTTAAGGACAGACTTCTATTTAACCTTTACCACAAGCATTCTTTTGTTAATACCAGAAATGGCTAATCATACCAATATTCTATATCAGGGCCTGTTGAATCAGGAAAATATATTTTCTTTTTATCCAGGAACTATCTAATTCTCACAGACTTCCCCCAACACACTGTATAGGATTGGAGGGTCAATATTGTTATCAACCCCATTTTACAGATAAGGAACTTACTATAGCACAGCTGACTTTTTCTCAAGGCTACAGAGTGAGTCAGTGTCAGAGCTAGGATGAGAACACTAGAGCTTCTGGCCCCCAATCCTCTGCTCAGGTCACTAGACTAGACAGTGCTTCTTTCCTAAAGGATAATCTGCTGTTCATGCTGTCCCCACTCTTGACTTCAGTATCCAGACACTTGTCCCCAGGACTTTTGACATCATCTGCTTCTTCTCATTGGATTTTAAGCTTCTTCCATTATAAACTGACCATATTACATACTCACAACAAATACCAATAGCTTCACCACACTGTTTTATTGGTTCATTCTACCACATGGAGTCAGACATATTTTATAGCATTTATAGCAGCAGTTTATCCTAAAAAGCTTTTAGCTGGAAAGCTCAATAGGCAACTCTAAGATCTTTTTCTAAAAGACAGTCAAATAGCCATTACATTAGGGAAGGGACTGGCATTTAGAATATGGAAACAGCTAATGAGAATTCTACTGTTTATTTTTTTGCTTATGTTTTTTAGTTAAACGGGAATTACTTATAAAAGGGAAAAGAGACTACCTCTGGACAGAGCATATTAGATAGGCCAGGAATAGATATAACTGGGAGAACAGACAGACATGACTAAGTCAGACCGACGCCCTTCTATTTTGTGCAATATTGTAACGATCTTCAACTTCCCTTGTAAGAACTTTTAGTTGTGTACAATTAAAGTGCCACATATAGGCTCTGCACAGCTGTTATCCTGCCTTACATTTTTGGTAGCTGTCCTACTGTCTTCTGATCTGTGCCCAGCGCTTGTTGTGGGAGTGGTGGTCACCAATGATCTCTATCTAGAACAAACTCAGAAAGCTGCGATTTTACATTTTAATTCTTCGTAGGTGTCTGATCATTGCTGGAAAAGGAGGTTTCCTCTGAAAAGGTCTCAGATGGTCTGAAGGTCTCAAATGTGTTGGTTTTTTTTAGACGGAATTTTGTAAGATAATAAGTCTTTGAATGCAGGTAAACTGGTATATCCGGCAGTGAGACAAAGGAAAGCATCTCAGTAACCTTTTTCTTGAAGATTGGTGATTTGAAAGTGTATAGAATACAGATCTGAAGTCCCTGTGGGTTAAATGAAAGCTCAGAGTTAATCATAGTAACGAAATGAAAGCTCAGAGTAAAATTGACCAGCGTCTTTTCGTAGTGACTTGAAGATAATTGCAATGATGATAATACCTATTTCTTATATAGCACTTTTCATCAGTAGATCTTAAAGCACTTCACAATCTTCAGTGTATTTATCCTCTCAACATCCCTGTAAAGGTCAGGAAGTGCTATTACCCCTATTTTAGGTGGGGAAGAGAGACTAAGTGATTTGCCCATAGTCACATAAGAAGTCTGTGACAGAGGAGGGAATTGAACCTAGATCTCCCAAGTCCTAGATTAATCCCCTAACTGTTATAATTATTAACCATAACATTAATGTCTTGAAATACAGGGTGGTATTACAAGAATGCATTTGCTAGTATGTATAAGAATGGCAGTATTGCCCTCTACTGGATGGAATATAAGGCCTACTTAAGCATGTGTTATATAAGACCCTATACTATAGGTAAAAGAGAGTCTCCTTGCAATACTACAACGTGGGATGGCACCAAATAGGACGGTCTGCATCAGTCATTAGTTAAAACTGGAGGTAGACGGGACTTTAAAATTTTAAGCCATTGCAAAAACATATCACATCTTTGGCATGCATCCCTCTGGATTATGTCAACTCATTCACTTTACTTTCAATCATTTTTACTTAGGCCCAGTCTACGTTTAAAAACTTTGCTGGTATAGCAGTATTGGAAAACCCTCCTGGTATAGACACAGCTTTTATATCAGCAAAAAAGGGCTTTTGCCAATATAGCTTATACTACTTCCCTGAGCAAAATAAGCTATACTGGCAAAAGCCCTTTTATGCTGGCATAATAGAGGGTTTCTGCTGGTATAGGAATGTTGTGAAAACCGCACATTCCTAGCTAACATTGCCATACCAGCAAAAATTTCTAGTGTAGACCTGGCCTTAGATTGTAAGTTCTTCAGTGCAAGGAAGGATACTCTCATTGTTATGTGTTTGTACAGTGTTTATCACAATGGGCCCCTGATCCATGATTGGCTTCCCTAGCCACTACTGTAATACAAATAATAATAAATAATAATAATAATATAATGTCTATCTGCCATACAGTCAATAGTTGCTTTCAGGGAAACTGCTCTCACAGACAGCAGAACCATTGAAACAGATGGGCTAGACAGCTGACTGCATGGTTTAAAAACGAACTCAACTCCAGTGGAAAGGGGTGTGATGTTTTATTTTTAATTATTCTGAAACACAAATAATTATTTTCATGCTTAGAAACTAAACATCTGACGGAAATTTTAATTAACAGTTTCTACAGACTGTTGTGTGCTTTTCAAGAGTCAGATTAGGATGGGGGGAAATGGTGGAACTTCCAAGCTCCGGCCACAAAGTAAGCTTAGCCCATGGGAGTCATCAGAATGAGAAACAGCTCACAGTAGATTGTACAGATGTTCAAATTGTGATCATGTGTGCCATGTGGCTCCACTGGGTCCCTTGAGCTTGGCTCCCTCTCACTGGGGCTTACATACATATGGGCTGTCATAGGTTCCTTCTTGACTGAGGAAAAAAATATGGTGGCTTCTCCCAAATGCTATCTCACTTGGGGCGCCAAAAATGAGACTTCATTCATAGTAAATTGTGCAGATCTCTCACAACTTCCTTTCCTTTTTTCCATGAAGAATGAAATAGTTAATAAGGGCTTTTCTACTCTGGGAAATTTACTGGAATAAGTGTGTCCACATGAGGAATTATACCAATATAAATATAATGCTTTGAATTCACACACCATACGTACCTTATACTTAAGGGTAAGAGTCTGTCACGGAGGTCACAGAAGTCACGGATTCCGTGATTTTCTGGGACCTACGTGACTTCCGTACCGGAAGCAGCTGGTGTGGCTGGCCCCAAGAGCTGCCGAAGCAGCAGCAGTCCCAGGGGCGGCCCCTGAGCAGCAGCAGTCCCGGGGGCCGTCCTGGAGGCTGTCAGAGCAGCGGTCCCCAGGGGCTTCAGAGCAGCGGATGGGCAGGGGCAGTCAGCCCCCACTGCCGGAGAAGGAGCCAGCCACTGGCCCCCATGGCCTCCCAGAGCATCCGTACCCCAGGAGCAGCTAAGATTTAATCAGGGACATTTATAGTAAAAGTCATGGACAGGCCAGGGGCCATGAATTTTTGTTTATTGCCCGTGACCTGTCCATGACTTTTACTAAAAATACCCATGACTAAATCTTAGCCTTACTTATACTGGTATAACTTCCTATGAAGACAAACCCTCACCCCCACCCCTTTTTTTTTTTAACTAAGTCAGAGATTTTGGAGGAAAAAAATAGAAGTGCCATTATGCCAGTTGTTTCCAAGCCCGGTTGATTTTTAGGTTTCAAAAAATTATTCCCATGCATATACAGTATCTAAAGTACTTTTTAAATAAAGACTTTGGGGATCCAATACTGTTGAATGTTGAGCACTCTCAATTCCCATTGAAATTAATGGGAATATAAATATTCTGCTCTACTTTGGATCAAGCCCTTAGTAAGCACACTTATTACTCTTGCAAAATACCTATGTTTCACCTACGTCTGCTAAACAGTATTTTAGAGATTATACAATGGTGTAGTATGCTATGCTATGAAGTTTAAAGCCAAAAGTCCAGCATTACCACATTCCTCATGAGCAATAGAGATGCATGTGCTTTTCTCTAGGGCTTTGTCCAGTCTAGTTTTAAATATCCTAAAGCAATGGAAATTTCACAACTTCCCTTGACTGACATTTCCACAGCTAATGAAGTTTTTCCTAATATTCACTCTCACAATCCCTTTTTGTATGGTCTGGTACAAAGAGAAGCCACTACGTATGGACAAGTCTTTTCAGTGATGACCTTACACATCCTACGGAATAATATAGCACGTTAGCTAGTAATACCAGAAGAGTTTTATGAATAATATATGTCAACTCACAGCCATTTTTAAACAAAGATTCTGAATTTTTGTATGAAGCAACATGGTTTTCCAACAGTTTACTAAGATACAGGATTATGGAGGGAAAGGGGATGCATTTTTTCAATGTCTCATTCATCAATATTGAAACAGCTACATACTGTACCTGAGTGGCATTGAAAATACAGAACAAAATGCTGAAGACAACATTTGTGGCCTCTTGATTTATTAGCATCATATAGCCCAGGACCCAGGTGATTCCAAGCACTACAGCTACAGATAAAGTGCCAAGTATCTTCGTTGTGAATGATTTCTTTTTATTGCTAGAGGGGGGAAAAAAAGTACCATTTCCAAGTGTTAAAAAATGTACAGATAAAACAACTCATTGTCTTGGTTTATTCAACCATTTTATTTAGCGTCCTGCATTTAAGGATTATTCAGTGGTAATCTAAGCTGTGTCCAGAACAGAGAGAACTCAACTGAGCAGATCAAAAGGGATATCTCCCTACGCTGCTCTGAAGGACTAATAAGAATAGCATCAGAACAATTACTGCTGGAGGTACTTTGCCTTACTAGATACAGAGAGAGAAAAAGCTGCCAATGCAGCAGAAAGCAGGAAGGAATAATAAAATAAAATAAAATAAAAAATAAACTATTATTGTTTAAAACTATTAGAAATGTGACTAAATTAGAAGAATTCTTATTTTGATTCAAATTTCCACAGTGTTCTACCTATTATAGACATAGGCCCCCAATGATGTTTGGATTCAGCTCCGAATCCCAACTTCTCCCAAGTCTGAGTATATTTAATTATCAAGATGTTTTGGGTTTGGATCCATCTCTAAAAATTATAGGGGGGGAATTAAAACAATGATGTAAAGACTTGTTGAAGGCAACGCTTCTTCAGGTTCAATAAAAGTAACAGTTCCCTTTCAAACTGATATAAATGCATATTCTCCTTTAGTAACTGTGAATCTGAGTTTCCAATATAACACCATTTACCATGAGAATAACAGTGACATCCAAATTCAGCATTATATATTACAGTCAACATATTGAAATCTGGCTATGTAAAATCAGACATCTAAGTCCATTTTTAGATTTCTAAATAAGTGGCCTGATTATAGACTCCTGGGGTGGTAAGTACCCATAATTCTCAATGGGCTGTGACAGTGGCTTTGATTCTTTTTCCACTTATACTGCTGTAAATCAGGAATTAATCCACTGAGATGAGTGGAGTAACACTCATATAAAACTAGTTTAAAGGATGATCCAAAGCCCACTGAAGTCAATGAAATGGCTCCCTTTGGATCAGGCCCAGTGCACTTTGGGGAGAGTTGGGCCCAAAACATGTTAAAGTGCCTAACTTTTGCAACCCAAGTTTGAACATTTCAACCTCATGAACAAAGAAGGAAAGGGGCTGTAAAGGAGGAAAGTCATGCTCAAAATCATCAGTGAACATTTTTTAAAAGGGCAAGAAAAATTATGAAAGACACCAGGTAATTATGAAAGTATGCATTTATATCAGTTTGAAAGGGAACTGTTACTTTTATGTAACCTGAAGAAGCGTTGCCTTCAACAAGTGTTTACATCATTGTTTTAATTCCCCCCCTATAATTTTGAGACCAAGAATCAGATTTTCCGAGGACAAAGTCTACCGCTGCCAAAAGAAAGACAGGGCCAAATTCTTCTCTCAGCTTGTACCAGTGTAACACAGAGCAGAATTTGGCCCACTATGTTAAGTCAATGAGATAATGAAGACTGTTGCACTCTGTGATATTCTAGTTTCTTTGAAAATATTTTTTTTAAATGAAAGAGCCTTCTGTCAAACGTTTGAGTTGATGTAATCTAAGAGAACATATATTAATATTCTAAATGGTCTGAGTTCTCTGCCACCCCTTCACCTTGTCAGATTTGTGTTCTCCTTCCACATAACAAGGACTGTGATCTTGACAAAGATGATAATGTTAAACAGAAGGATGACTGCCACAACCAAAAGGAATGCCCATATCATGGGCTTTTTTGTGCTCACTTTCCCTTCGTCATCCAGGACTGCAAGCCAGCAACTTAAACATAAAGAGAGACCATTTCAACAGATTTGGCAGACATATTATAAATGCATAACCATAACATAATACACCACCTTTCATCCTGAAGGATCCCAGAGGACTTTATAGTGAAATGCAGCCATATCTAGAATGGAGTGCTGTAGGCATTCAGCACTAATAAAGCTATTTTAAATTTTTTTCTCCCCAGGAGAAGTGAAGAATATGTTATCAGCTGAAACTTCACAGGAGAATTTGGGGGAGATAGAATGTAATTATCCAAACTGGAATCTGACCAGGACATGGGAATTTATTATTATTATTATTATTGTCTATATTAGACTACAGCCTCGGGACTCTCAATCAAGGATCAGAGAGCCCCATTGCACTTGGGATTGTACATACATGTAGTATAAAGACAGCCCGTGCCCCAGAAAGTTTACAATCTATGTTCATGGCAAGATGAAAGGGGCAGCAGCTGAAACAGATAAATGGGGCCAAGGAAGGGAGGATGAGGTTTCAGTATAACTGTCATCTTTTTGTTTAACAAACAGTAATCTCAGATAAGAACATTAATACTCCCTAAATCTTGAGAAAAGCACCATGGGATATTTAATGATCCAGGTGGAAGGGGTTTTGTTTTTACATCTCACTTGAAAGAATCTACCTCTGATTACATACTTACAGTCCACTAGAACCAACCACAGACCGTGCCCAGCCCAGCGTATTTTATAAGAAAGACAGTTATGGTGTGGCTGTTATGGTGTGGCTGCAGTCATATAGAAAGCAGGTACCAAATAATATAGGTTAATTGTGGACGTTAGTGACGTAGGCCAAAATTTTAAAACTTACATGCCTAAATTTAAGCACTTAAATCCCTATTCAGGCACCTAAATAAGTGGCCTGAATTTCAAAGGGGCTGAGAGCATGCACAGTTGCCACTGAAGTCAATGAGGAATTGTGCATGAGCATTCAAGGTAAATTTTGGCCAGTGCCTTAATCAGCATTTGTTAACAAAGGACCAAAGCCTGAAGTCCTTACTGAGGCAAAACTCCAGCTGAGTTTAACAGAAGTTTTTCTTGGTTAAGGACTAAGAGGTTCAGCACTGTATTCGTTAATTAGTTACAATTACTACCAGGGTAAATCCAGGGTATCATTAATACTGCTGGGCATTAAAGATACAATAAAACAAGTGGTGTCATCATTCATCTACTTACAACTCTTCCTGCCGGTAGTTTAATGGCTTGCCCTTTCTATAGGTAGCTCCAAGTGTTATAGCAACCACTACAGCAGGCACTCCTAATTGACAAAGAGAGAGAGAGATCATTAGTGTATTGTTTAATTACCTAGGTCTAGATCACCCCCTTCTGCAGAAACACCCAAATAAGGGGGAAACTTGCCTGCTAAAACCCTCAAGGCTTGTTAAGGCCCATTTTCTATCTGTCCTGCACTCCGTTAAGGGGTGAGAGTGTCCTTGAGGAAAAGGCAGGATTTGGGATTGAGTAGGGCAGTTATCTATGGGAAGCTCAGGGCCAAACCTTACTGTGTTTACCCATGGAGCATCAGTTCCTGAGCATGCCTTCTAGAGGCTCCCCACATCCTGGCAGCACAGCAAACTCCTCTGCTGTGCTGCAGTTGGCTCTCTTACAGCAACTGTGCAATCCTAGCCCCTTTTCACAATCTAGAACTATTTAGTAGATTCCACGAGAAAGCTGTATCCCACATCAGCTGTATAGTCAGTGAGGCGAAGACAACTAAGATATTCATGCACACTTTATTAGAATACTGTACCGAATGAAGCTGAATCCCAGAGACTCCTGTCTTATTCAGTGGGTACCCCCTGCCTCCCTCAGTTCTCCCAGTAGTTCCCCTTAACCTTGCAGCATTGCTGCTTATTGCTATGCTCTGAAGATGTGCTAAATGTTTATTACAAAGTAGTACATAATAAATAATACAAGCCAATTTTTGGTTTTGGATGGCTGAATGGCTCCTATTGAAATCAATGGGAATCTCACATGCTCTTCCTAGGGCAGAATTTGACTCCAAGTATGCAATCACTTATCAGAAACAATTTTGTTTCAGGTGATAAAATATTCTTGAAGCCCTTAACTATTGCCAAAATTCTTGCTGCATGCAGCAGACGGGAGTTGCTGTGACAATGAACATGCCATGTATATCCTATAATTCTACTGATCTCCATATTAATGCAGTGACAGCAGACTCAGCTGGTAAACTCCAGGTGAATCAGTAAAAGGACATAAGAAGTAGCTGGAGGCTACCTGTTAAACCACATAGCTAACCCAAAGAAACTGACTGTATTTCATTTTCTGTCTATTGGATTAATATGTTTAAAGCTTACACTGAATGCACTACTTACATTTTGAAAAGCCCTCTGCATATGAGACTCTAATTCTTACCCCATCCAATTATTGACATGATTAAAGTGAAGTGTTCAGGAATGGGCCTCAGGGTTTTAAGCAGCAGTAAGTACAAATGTGCAGAATTGAGCGCTGTCCACATAAATGTTGCCAACAAGAAATAGTGCAACAAGACGGCTACAGCAGTACACAAGGCATTTTCAGGAACATCTGCAAGGTCCGAGGCCAGTGCGGTGTTTTCGGGGGAAACATCTCCGCTATTCTTGGCATTTGGGTTGCCAATTCCAAAGATGAAGATGATGTTGAAAATCAGCATTGATGTGCAGAGACTCACCAACACCCAGGTAACTGAGAATTTTCGTGTTTGCCTATTGGTTGGTAAGCACCATACATATTTGAGAAAAAAGTAGCAAAGCAAGAAAAGAAATTACGATACATTTCCCCCTTTCCTGAATCTCTTAACATGCTAGAAGTCACCTGGGGGTGTGCAACCTTTTTTTAATACAAACTTTGTATTAACTGAGATTTACAAAGCCAGAAACCAGCAATAAACATTTGGCAAAGAGTTCTACATTACTTTTATTTTCACACCTATCTATCAATTTCACCTTGACTTCAGTGAGAACTGAGGGCACTCAACACCTTGCAGGACTGGGCCCTTAGTACAATATTTGGGACACATTTCCATACTTTTCTGCTGCTTTTTAAGCTGGTTAGTCTCCGTGTAAGAGGGAGAAAACAGTGTAACAGAAATATTTCTAAACACTCTTAGGGGCCCAACAAGCTGGGCACATCAACATATTTTATAAATGCACATGAAAAACTCTCTCCTTCCTGGCATTGGTATAACTCCATTGACTTTGGTGGAATTACACCTGAACTACCCTAATGTAAGCAAGATCAGAACAACTCCTAGAAACAGACTTTGTCATTAACCAGGATAGCTGCAATTATGTGAGTTGGAGTTTGGCTATTGTCTGAGAAAAGATCACATGATATTAACTAATACATTGATGTCTCGGGAGCTTTATAGAAGCCACTGCACATTTAGGTTAAAATACAGCATTCCACCATGTATCAAAACACACTCGGTCAAAACCTGAGGTCTTTACTTAGTCTTTAATCAGGCAAAAGTTCTAGGGAAGTCAATGAGAGTTTTGCATTGAATAAGGACTTCAGAATTTGGCCCATATGGACTGGAGTGTTAAGACTAAAGGTTTGAAAATATTATCTCCTGAATGCAGTGATACCTTAAAACCAGCAGCTTCTAGCATTCTCTCTCAGTCTTTTTAATCCCGTAGAACAGGAGCGGGCAAACTTTTTGGCCTGAGGGCCGCGTTGGGTTTCGGAAATTGTATGGAGGGCTGGTTAGGGGAGGCTGTGCCTCACCAAACAGCCAGGCGTGGCCCAGCCCCCGCCCCACTTCTTGCCTCCTGACGCACCCCCCCCCCAGGACTCCTGCCCCATCCAACCCCCTGTTCCCTGACGGCCCCCCTGGAACCCCTGCACCATCCACCACCCCCCACTCCCTGTCCCCTGACCGCCCTCGGAACCCCCACCCCTGACTGCCCCCTGCCACCCCATCCAACCCCTCCCCTCCTTCCTGATTGCCCCCCCCAGGACCCCTGCCCCATCCAACCACCCCTTCTCCCTGACCGCCCCCAGAACCCCATCCAACCCCCCCTCTCCTTCCTGACTGCCCCCCTGGTACCCCTGCCACATCCAACCACCCCTTCTCCCTGTCCCCTGACTGCCCCCTGCCACCCCATCCAACCCCTCCTCTCCTTCCTGACTGCCCCCCCTGGGACTCCTGCCCTCTGTCCCCTGACTGCTCCCAGAACCCCAGCCCCTGACTGCCCCCCGCTGCCCCATCCAACCCCTCTCCTTCCTGACTTCCCCCCAGGAACCCCTACCCCCATTCAACCCCCCTGTTCCCCGCCCTCTGATCGCCCCGACCCCTGTCCTTTATCCAACTCCCCCACTCCCTGCCCCCTTACTGCGCTGCCTGGAGCACTGGTGGCTGGAGCCCGGCTGGAGCCAGCCATGCCACTGCACAGCACAGAGCACTGGGTCAGGCCAGGCTCTGCAGCTGCGCTGCCCCAGGAGCTCACCACCCTGAGCATTGCGCTGGCGGTGGTGAGGTGAGGCTGTGGGGGAAGGGGGGCAGCGGGGAAGGGGCCAGAGGCTAGCCTCCCAGGCCAGGAGCTCAGAAGCTGGTCAGGAGGGTCCCGCAGGCCGTAGTTTGCCCACCTCTGCCGTAGAACCATCTTTTCTAAAATAAATTTCTATCCTGCATCAGTCTCTGTATCTATCATACTATTGTCTATACAATGAAATGTCATTTGTTACTTTTGATTGTCTTAAAAATAATTAAGTAAAATTAGCCAAAACTATACAGAATCCAAATGGACTCATACTGACACAAGGATATGATCCTTCAATGGGATCTGCACAGTCACCAAAGCCTGCTTCTGTGGATCCCTTTGAAGGATTGGGATCTTAGGGCAAAATTTTGTGAGTCAGAGCGGGTAGGTAGTACTCAGTATCTCATAGGAAGGGCTCAGTACCTCACAAATTGGGCTGTGAGATACTCTTCAGAACTCTGCGGTGCCACTTCTCTTTGAATCTAAAGTATTTTCAAATATAAATTGTCCTAATGACTTTTAGTAATTAATTTTACTGCATTGTTATCCTCATATTTTAAAACAAGGAAACCACAGCAGAGAAAGGTTACATGATTTGCTCAAGGTCACACAGCAAGAGAGTGGCACAGAGGACAACCCAAGTCTCCTGACTTCCAGTCCTTTGCTCTAACTGCTAGACAATATTGCTCCTTAGACTGACAACATATTTTAACATATTGTTGATACTGTGCAATAGTAATATATTAAGAGTATCTATCTATATTATAAAGTGACTTCACTCACTTTTTTCAGGCCATATTCAGAGCAGCATAATGTTAAATTAGCATAAAAATATTTTTGCAGATAATGTCTAGTTTATGTCTTTTCTCTTACCTGGTGAGAATTTGAAACAGAATGGTAATAACCAGACCAGCAATGGAGAATCCACTACCAATGTTTGAGACAATCTCTAGAGGTTTTGCATATTTGTAATTGATCTTGAAGCTCTAGAAAATAATTGTTATTGATTATAAATAAGATATTCAGCTAGTTGCGTGTGCATGATGTGGGGGAGATAGTTTTCTCTCTAAAATTTATGTGGATGATTGACATGGGAATAATCGTGTTTTTTTAATGTTATGGCTACTACTAGCCACTGCCAAAATTTGCAGGTCACACAAAATTAGTCAAAACCAGAGAAGTTTTTCAGGAACTTCAGAGGGACCTAACAAAGCTAAGTGAATGTATAATGCAATGGCAGATGAAATTCATTGTTAAGAAATGTAATATACCTTGCAAGAAATAATTTGACCTACTCATATACAATTCTGGATTCTAAATTAATTGTGACCTCTAGGGAAAAAAATCTGGGCATTATTATGGACAGCAAATCAGAACCTGTCCTCTCTATAGTTACAGTAAAAGCAGCAAACAAAATGTTAGCATATATTATGTCTGGTGCAGACAGGCCCACCGACAGAAATTCCGGGCCCCAGGACAGAACAGTCAATGGGCCCCACTCACACACAAGCTGTGCCCGCGTGCACGCGGTCCGCCTGACATTTGGGTGGTGCTGTGCCCGCACTGACTGGTGCCCAGCAAGCTACCGGCTGCACTGCTGGGCACGCTCTTCTGGCACAGCCAGGGCTTCCACGTGCCCACCCGGTAGGGTTGCCAACAGTCTAATTGCGCAAACCCAAACACCTTTGCTCCACCCTTGTCCCGCCCCTTCCCTGAGACCACGCCCCTGTCCTGCCCCTTCTATGAGGCCCTGCCCCCTGCTAACCCCATCCCCCCTCCCTCCGTCGCTTGCTGTCCCCCACCCGCACTCACTTTCACCAGGCTAGGGCAGGAGGCTGGGGTGCAGGAGAGGGTGTGGGGTCCAGGTTCTGGGAAGGAGTTTGGGTGTGGGGGGGGTGAGGGGTCAGGCTCTGGGAGGGAGTTTGGGTGAGGGAGGGGGTGAGGGACACAGGCTCTGGGAGGGAGTTTGGGTGAGGGAGAAGCTGTGGGGATGGGCTCTGGGAGGGAGTTTGGGTGCAGGAGGGGTGCATGGTGTGTGCTCAAGGCTGGGGCAGAGGGTTGGGGTGCAGAAGAGGGTCAGGGGGTCGGCACTTACCTCGGGCGGCTCCCAAAAGATACCAGCTCATCCCTCTGGCAGCAGCTCCTAGGTGGGGGGCCAACGTGGTCTCCACATGCCGCTGCCTACAGACACTGCCCCTGCAGCAATGGGAGCTGCGGAGTTGGTGCTCGGGGCGGGAGCAGCGCATGGAGACCCCCTCCCCAGGGGCCTCAAGGATGTGCTGGCCGCTTCCGGGAGCAGCCGCGGCATGGAGCAAGGGCGGACAGGAAGCCTGCCTGAGCCCCACTGCAGAGCCAGTGGCAGCCGGGGGCCCCCGGTCCTTTTAAATTGCCCAGGACCCTGGGCAATTGCCCCCTTCCTCCTCCTCCCCCGTCCCCCGGGTACAGATAACACTGGGCGGTCCTGGGTACAGATAACACTGAGAATATTATAATGCCATTACATAATTCAAAGTTACACCCTTAGGTGCAAAACTGTTTTAATTTCTGGTCACCTTATCTAGGAAAGGATATAGTACATAAAGGCAATTGAGAGATGGGTGATGAAAATTATTAGAAACATGGAAAGACTTGCCTGTGAAGAAAGATTAAAAAGATTAGGGGTAAAATCCTGGACCTATTGAAAGTTGATTGCAAAACTCCCATTATTGACTTCCACGAGGCCAGGATTTCACCCTGGAACTGTTTTGTTTAGAGATGATATGACAGAGATATACACAATAATGAATGACACAGAGAAGCCATTAATTCCTAATTACTCTCTGGTTATTAAAACAAAGGGACATTCAATGAAACTAAGAGGCAACAAATTTAAAATGAATAAAATAGATATTTTTACCCCAAAAAAATCAATCTATTGAACTCCTTGATACTAGATATAACCAAGGCTAAGAGCTTAGTAGACTTCTCCAAAGGGTTAGACGTTTATATGGATAATGAGAAAATTCAGTTATATAAGATCGGATTTTTTTTAAAATTTTTTTAGAAGGGATATAAACCTTCGTGCCTCAGGACATAATCCAGCCTCTAACTAAAAGTGGTTAGGAAGAAATTTCCCTTATGGCAGGTTATTCTGCAATTGTCAACTAAAAATTTTCTTGCACCTCCCTTTCATCTGGTATTGGCCACTGTCAGGCACAAGATACTGGACTAGGTGAAACACTAGTCTGATAACGTCAGTCCCTATGCTCTCTCAAGCGTCACTTCTCCCATGATACCTATAAGAAATTGGGCAACTAGCAATGTCTGCATAAAGGAGAAGTTGGGGATAGCTGATCTTTTAAAAATCTTGATTGTATGGTTTTCTTTCTCCCTCCCCTGCTCTTCTGTTGCTCCTCTTAGATAATTAGTTCTTTGGGGGCAGGGACTGCATCGTCCTGTATGTTTGGAACAGGCCTTATACTTACATTCTGCTATTATAAAGCCACCAACAACTGAGAAGAAAAGACAAATGATTTGCTGTTACAAAACGTCTTACCATTAATACAGCAAAATTAGTAGTGTGATTACACCTGCAGCTCAGTTCCTGTTTGTTTCCTTCTTTTGTGCAGCCTGTTGTGTTCCAGTCATTTGCACCGTAATCCCAAAAGACACATGCATAATCATGCAGCAGAATTTCCAACGCATTGTACTGTGGATCGGGAATACAAGAAGAAAAACTGGCAACAAACACTTTGCAAAGATACACCAATGAAACTGTGTTTGGTAAAGACTGTTCTTTCTGAAGGGAGAGGTGACACATATACTGAGACGCTTGCAGAGTTTCCAGTCAACTTTATGGGAGATCTTATGTTGAAGACAATTAGGCCTCATGAACTGACAATACACCTCAACTTTCCATTTGAGGGGTAAGAGGATAGTTCAGTCTCCATTTACATCATTGTTGAGACTGCCAACAAACTGCCAATTTGCTGAAATTGTTTTGGTAATTATGACAGAAACACATGTCCAGTGAGAATTGGACAGAATTTCACATATGCCAAACAGCAATCATCAGATATCAGTAACACTCAAATGCTGCCAAAGTGAATTGGGTTTGCACTACAACCAAGAGGTAGAAACTTATGCATTCCACTGGCAATCCTACTCCTATATACCAAATATGGCTGTTTAATACTTTTAATAAATAAAGCTTGCAATTTTGCATTTTCATAACATCTGTGGAAATTTGCAATTAAAACAGCCCTTTGCATTATTTGTGTATGATAGATGGACTTCAAACATATACAAAGGACTTTGAAATGCTCACATGAATCAATATGAGTGATACTTATTTTCCAATCCACCCAGTTTATGATCTATCATAGTGAATCTTGCTCCATCACATGAATGGGTTTGATCCTCCAAATCTTAGCCACATAAGAAAGGCTTGTAGGAAGAGGCCAAATGTTACCTTCCAGAAAAAAATGCATGTGACATTGGCAGATGAGGTGCCAGCTCATGCCAACATCCCAGGCCTTATTGAACACTTAAAATGAATAGCTGGATGCCAGGCCAATTCACTTGTGTTTTAGTGTAAATCAAAGTGATTGTTAAATCTATAAGAATGCATTTGGTGTTTAAACTTTATCAAAAGTAATGGCATGCTGCATGCATTTTTTCACTGTTTTGTATTCTATTATAATGTAATACCAAACATTTACATTGAAGAAGTCTTGTATAATGCAAATAAAGAACTTTAACTGGAAAGCACTAATTCCTGTGCATTTGTAGGCAAGTGGTCATTGTGTATGATGACCAGAGATCAAAGACTCTAAATGCATTCCTCTCTTTCTGCCAGTCAAAGAAAGAACCCATGTGGGTAGGGACCCTGTCAGCTTGTTTTCTGTGAGAGGAAGATATAAGTGTGGACAGAAGGAAGAATTCTTGATCTCTGGACTATTTGGATTCTAACAGGGCAGAATAACTGAACAAGAAGATGGAGATCCCCAGAGTTACTCTGGGTAGCCCTGAGAGACTTTTGGGAAACTGGCAGATTTCTACATCTCTGCTAGTATTTGGAATTATAGACTGTGACTCACCGGTACATATATTTTACCTGCTTTAACTTTTCAATAACTCTTATTTGTTTTTCCTAGCTAATAGGACTTTACTTAATTTGCTATAGAATTGGCTACCAGTCTTGTCTTTGGTATGAGATCTAGGATGCAAATCAACCTGGGTGAGAGACTGGTCTCTGGGGACTGAGTGTAACCTGGTGTTTTGTGATTTTCAGTGTAAGTGACCATTTATCATACAGTCCAGCTTGCCTGGGTGGCAAGATAGACTGGAGTGTCTGTAGGGACTTTTTGTGACTCCACGAGAAGACTATTGTAGTACTTTTGGAGTTCACATTTGGTACTGGGTTGATGAAGTCTAATTACAGAACACACCACCAATTTCGGGTGTCTGCCCTGCTTTTGACAGTCTGCCCTGAGGTAGGCACTTATGGTCCTGAGCCACTCCAGACCGTGTGATAATGCAATCTAAAAATTCAGAAATCACGATCAAATAGGAAATTCACACAGATCACTGCATGCAAAAGGTAATAAACATATAGAACAAGTTTGGGGAGAAGACAATTGAGGCAAAACTTGCAGCTATTTCAAGAGGCACCTGGAATTATCTCTGAAGAAGGTAGAGTGTAAGGGATATGGTAAAAAAAAAAAAAAAGCAAGTAGAATTCAGGTAACACCCAAAAATGAATAGGTATGTTGGACTGTATTTGGTATGTTATCCTTTTCGTGTTCCCAGAATTTATTATATTATATTTCCTGTAGAGAAATTACTATTTTTGTCCCTCTCAAATTTCTGATTTAGGCTCTGGTCTGTACTTAAAAAGTAGAACTATGTCACTTAGGGATGTGATTTTTTTGCTATCGTAGACATGCCAGTAAAAGCTAAGTGCCGAAGCAGTTATGTTAGTATACACAGCTGATCAACGTGCCCTTGATCAACTACCTGAGAAACATATCTAAGAGGACCTAGACCTCTCTCTATCAGTTGAATAAGTCACAAAAGCCATCAAACAATTGAACTCTGGCAAGGCATCCAAAAAGGATGGAATCCCAACAGAACTGTACAAAGCAGCAGGCCCAAAGGTTATCAAGGTGCTCCACAACATCTTGAGCAGTATCTAGGAGGAAGAAGAAATGCCACAAGACTTCAAGGATGCTACCATTGTATCACTGTTCAAAAACAAAGGCAGCAAAGCTGACTGTGGAAACTACAAAGGCATTACTCTCTTCTGTACAGCAAGGAAAATACTTGCTCGCATTCTACTGAAGAGACTCTTTGCAAATATATCTGAGGAGAATTTGTCAGAAGTGCAGTGTGGTTTTAGACCAGGTCATAGCTCTATGGACTTATTTTTGTTGTAAGGCAGGTCCAGGAAAAATGTTCAGAGCAAAACACGGACCTTTATTCAGTCTTCATCGACTTGACCAAAGCCTTTGATATGGTCAACAGAGAGGGTCTACGGGCTATTCTACATAAACTGGGCTGCCCAAGAAGGGCCAGTTCCATGATCACATGACAGGACAAGTGCTCTCCAATGATGACTCTTCTGACACATTCAAAATCTCGAATGGAGTAAAGCAAGGCTGCGTTCACCTTGTACTTTACTTGCATCCTCAGCCATGCCACAAGGGACTTGGCTCAGGGAACATACATCCGCTACTGACTCAATGGCTCCCTCTTTGGTCTTTGAAGATTAAACATTAAAACCAAGATATCGGAGCGACTTCTCATTGAAGCACTCTTTGCAGATGACTGTGCCCTGATGGCCCACAGACATAATGGCCTTCAGGTAATCGCTGACAGATTTTCTGAAGCATCCCAGCTCTTTGGCCTCACCATTAGTCTCGGTAAGACAGAGGTTTTGTTCCAACCTGCACTTCATTCCAATGCTCCGGTGCCAGCCATCTCCATCCAAGGCACAAAGTTGAAAAATGTGGATCAGTTCAGGTATCTGGGCAGTACCATCTTCAGTGATGGTTCCCTTGACAAGGAAATTGCCTTTAGAATAGTAAAGCTAGCCAGGCCCTTGGCCGACTTCAAACAAAAGTCTTCAATAACACAACATCCACCTCTCCACCAAACTGAAGATCTATAGTGAGGTGGTCCTAACATCTCTCCTGTACAGTCCTGAGACTTGGACTCTTTATAGACAGCATATTAAACACCTTGAGCAATTTCACATCCGCTCCCTCCACTCAATAATGAGCATTTGCTGGCATGACAGAGTGACCAACAATAAGGTCCTTGAGAGAGCAAACATAACCAGCAATGAGGAAAAGTTGTTGAGAGTGCAACTTAGGTGGACTGGACATCTCATCAGAATGGAAGACCCACTCCCCAAAAACAGATCTTGTGTGAGGAGCTGAGGCAGGGCAAAAGAAAGAAGGGTCATCTGTTCAAGTCCTTCAAAGACAGCCTGAAGAGCAGTCTCCAGAGGGCTGGCATTAGCCCCAAAGAACTTGAGCAAATGACTCAGAACAGGACTCACTGGCGGTCTCTGACAAGATCAGCCTGCAACAATTTCGAGCAGTATTGACACAGTTGTCTCCAGGCTGCATGTGAAAGGCGCCATAGAGCTGCACCATCAAACATCATGGATACGGACTTCCCAAACCCTCAGTGCGGCTGATTCTCTGCATCAGCGTTCGGACTTCAGAGTCATATGCGTAGCCACAGATGAGATTCGTGATATCATCATCATTGTTACCGATGGACTACCAACATCACCAGTGTAAGGCACTTACTACAAGTATAGTTTATTTCACTTTACCTAATTGGAAAAAGCTATGCCAGTATCAGCACAGTTATACCAGTGTACATTACGCAGCTTTGCCTTTTTAGCTATACCAGCGTAGTTAAAGCAGCTGAACTTTTAAGTGTAGACAAGTCCTCTTCTGTCTGGGTGGCATCCCTCCCACGCCAATAATGGAACAATGATAGAATTATGTTGTTCTTTTGAAGACTAAAAAAGAATAAAGGTAAAGGAGCCCTAGAGCCTTTTAAAAACTGTAAACTTCATACCTTCTATGAATGCAGCGACAACACTGAGGGGATAGAGATGGTCATTTACTATATGTTTCTCTAGTGCCTGCCCAGTCTGGTTGTGGGCAGTAGGTGCTATGGCAATTGAAATGGTAAATAATTGGGGCTGCAACATTCTCTAGAATACGCTCTCTCTCAGTTCTATTTGTAAGAGGACTCACCTTTGGCTTGAAGACTATTTTAACATCGTTGACTGTTGCATTAGCAACATTGCCAGAGATAACTTGTTTAGTATGATTAAAATGAGTCTTGTAATTTTTTGATTGGAAAAATTTGTCATTTTGATACAAGACAAAGCCAATACGTCTATTTCCAGATGAACCTACATTGGGCAAAGAGAAAAGAGATGTAGGGTCACAGATACCTCATGGAACAGATTATTATAGAAGTAGATGATAGCAACTCCTATATTTAGCTTGCCTAACACTTCCATTGTAAAAGATCCTTTGAGAAGCTCTTACGCCTCCGTTATACACAGCAAGCCTTAATATTTGTAAGGGAAACCCTTTGAGCTAAGGAAGTACCTTTTCTCTACCCCATGAGATTCTAGTCAGCTTTTGCTGAGACATTAACTGTTAAAAAAAATCACCGTTTCCTTTCTCAGAGTTGCATGCCCTGGAGCAATTTTGGCAGTCTGCAAGAAATAATAACTATATGCATGAACATTCCCAATTGCCAGGTTCACAACGATTACAAAGCCACAGCAATAGAATCAGACATGGTGCTGGGAATACGTGAAAACTGCCAGAGCAGCTATAGGGATGGGGGAGAAGAGGTCCTGGTCTCTTCCCCTCAGACCCAGCACATGGCCTCAGTGGCTCATGCACTATATGTGAAAGGAACGGGGATAGATGGCTCTGCCCCCAATATACACCTTCTCTGCACAGCATCTGGCCCCAGCAGTTTATTCCCATTTTCTGGAGACACCTCATGGAGCAAGTTCTCACCCAAGAGCTAAGCAAGGCTGAGCTCCATCCTTCTGCTCCCAATACAGCACATTCACCCAGGGGTCCATCCTGCCCCTCTGGGATAACAGCCTTCTCTTTCTGCCAACTAATATAGTTAAACCTGTATCTCAAAAACTCCTGCTGCAGTCTATGCTGCAGTGCAGAAGGCTCAGGGTGGGGTTTTTTACAGTTGCACATAGTAGAATTTGTATTTACCTTTTCAATTTAAGAAAACCTAGGAAATTACATACAAAAAACTACTTTAAAAAGGTTTTTTACAATGTATTAACTTAAACAACAAATTAAAGTCATAATATTAACAAAAATAGAGAAAAATATTGCAAACAGAGAAAAATGCTAATATATCAGTCTGCAGACTGCATCTCCTTTAGGATGGGGAAGGTAGAGCAGTGCTGCAGAATTGTCTCTCTTAGGGTGAACGAGACTGTGAAAATAATAAGAGCTACAGAGCAATTAGATCACACTGGTTTAGAGTCTTCCAGTGTATTTAATTATTTGTATAGCACCTTTTACTAGTATCAAATCAACAAATAAGCAAATAAGCAGATGTGACATTACAGAAGTTAAGAGACAGATGGACATCTGTGAAAAGAACTTCTAAAAGTGGAATTATTTTTTAAAAACTGTATACTTGTAATGACGATGAGGAAAGACAGTAGCTGTTGTGAAAGTAGAATGAATTATATTGAAATTATAATTCATTAGAGAAATGCTGCTTGAAGGGTTTGTTGAAATATAGTTGTCAGGAAGAGAAACATCAAGGAGTGTGAGACAATGGGTCCTCAAACTAATTAACTTAGAGCTTCTACTGAGCTAGGAGATTGGTAAACGTTAGTATGCTAATAAGATATGTATGTATATTTGTCAGTGTCTGCTTCTTTTTGTCTCTTTGTGTCCAGTTTTGGGCCCCACACTTCAAGAAGGATGTGGATAAATTGGAGAGAGTCCAGCGAAGGGCAACAAAAATGATTAGGGGTCTGGAACACATGAGTTATGAGGAGAGGCTGAGGGAGCTGGGATTGTTTAGCCTGCAGAAGAGAAGAATGAGGGGGGATTTGATAGCTGTTTTCAACTACCTGAAAGGGGGTTCCAAAGAGGATGGCTCTAGACTGTTCTCAATGGTATCAGATGACAGAACGAGGAGTAATGGTCTCAAGCTGCAGTGGGGGAGGTTTAGATTGGATATTAGGAAAAACTTTTTCACTATGAGGGTGGTGAAACACTGGAATGCGTTACCTAGGGAGGTGGTAGAATCTCCTTCCTTAGAGGTTTTTAAGGTCAGGCTTGACAAAGCCCTGGCTGGGATGATTTAACTGGGAATTGGTCCTGCTTTGAGCAGGGGGTTGGACTAGATGACCTTCTGGGGTCCCTTCCAACCCTTATATTCTATGATTCTATGATTCTTATGTTAAATTGGCTTTGGCTTATCTGTTTAAATAAGTTAGCTTGAGCTTTTGCAGGAGGCTCACATATCTGGGTGCATTGCCAAAGCGCTTTGCTAATAAACAGAGTGGTCTGACAAATTCTGTGAGTCTTGAATTTGACTTTGACACTGTTTTAACCAGTTCTCCAGGGTTCATTGTTAAGTCTTCCACCGCACAAAGAGCAGAAGACGTACTTTTTTTTTTAGCCTAGATGATTTTATTCAGATAAAGGAAAACAACAAGAAAAGAGAGAACAGATATAAAGTCTGCATGTGAAGGAGAACACAATAGCTCAATTGGTAACATTCTGCAACTGAAATTACATTAAAAATGGTTAAAAGAATGTTATTATTTAGGTTACAAAGTCAAGCACTTGAAAATTAGGAAATGCCAGATCTATGTTTGATAAGACAACTTTAATATTGTCCTTTTGTGCATCCCTCCTGTTTACTGAATGAGGCAGGCGTCCTGTGGAAAAAAATGGTTTGTAATTATGAAATTCATCATGAACTAATCAAATTGTAATCATGAAATTAAAGTCCGTACCATAATAAATATACACAGAATTAAGAATTAAGGTTACACAGGAAATTGTCTATCTGGCATTTCCTAACTTTTGAGTGCTTGACTTTGAAATAAAATGCCACGCTTTTACGTGCAACTGTGACAATCCCCCTATCGTGCATCATTTGAAACTAGACTGTCCTGTACCACAGCACAGACTTCTACACCACTGGAGCTACCAGACTAAAACAGCCTTTTACTGCTATTACCTCTGTAATCCTCAGGGGAGGGACTGGGCTGCCCTAGCTCTCTCTCTCTCCCATACCATCCTTACAGCTGCTCCAGCACCGCCCAGGTGTTCCCAGTACTGTACTGTGTGTGTGTGTGAGGTAATGCTGATGCTGATGCTTTGGTAGCAGCAGAGGCCTAGCACTTTGGAATGTTCATGTCACCATTATTGTGGCAAGTTGTCATCATTTCCCTGAGGAACATAAGGGCAGCGTCAATTGTCAAATATGTGTACCTCAGCAAAACCTGAACAGATGTTCACAGGAATAAGAAAAGACATTTCTCTCTAGCCCCAGGCATTTCCCACTGCCATATTTCAGAAGCCTGCTGCAAACAATTGAGGTGTTAGAACTTGTTTTTTAAAAAGGTCTTAAGGAATTTTATGAAGGAAAACGTTAGGCAACCTAAATATAGGGGTCACTCCCAGTTTAATGAAACATAAAGTGGCCACTGTCCCTGCAGCAGACAAACAGACTACTCAATATTTAAAGATGCAGTACACCAAAAACAAAATGACCTTTTTGCTTTCTATATATACACTACATTTAACAAGTTTTCTTATAATTTAATAAAGAATCAGACTAGTGACAAACTGAAGTTAGAGACTCCCTCATGTCAGAAATTAATTACTTATCTGTAGCAGAAAATAATTACTTATCTATATCTACCAATCAAAATGGCCTTTCTTTTTAAGAAAGAATTTTCTTTTTAAGCTGACATGGTAGTAGTCTGTAGTTTTGGAGCAGAAATTTTTAGTCCAACCTCTAATGGAGATGTGTAATTTAGTGGTTCACTTTGGAGACTGTAGCTCTGTAACCACACATTCATTACAGTTATAAAAACTCAGGCCATGTTACAGGTAAGTCAGCAGTGATTCACAAATAAGGTCACACAGTTAGCTTTGCCATGTACACTTCTTGTTCTATGATATGTGCCCTAATATATGTACATAAAAAGACATCTTTTCATAGATTTTAGTCAAAGGAGTGTGAGAACACTTTTGTGCAGAATTTGCCCAGCACTAGGTTTTGGGGAAGAGAAGAGTGTACTTACTGTTCTTTGTAAGGTTGATCAGTATTTGAACTTCTATATTGTTGGCATTGTTAGAGTCATTTTCAGCTACATTAATATTTCCAGACTGTAAACTTCCTGATGCTGTGTAGGCAAGAGTCACCAAAGAATTTGTACGAATTGTTAGAATTTGTAAAAATGTGCTCATTGTCCTTATAATTCCCACAAAGCAAATAAGCTTACCTGTCTGTGCAGAGAAAAAAGCTATAGTTGAATCTGGATTCAATGAAATGTTCTGAACTGCAATGTTGGGCTGAACAGCAAAGCCATTCAAAGAGAAATTTTCCAGTGTCTTTGTGAGGCTGCATTGAAGTAAGGAATGGTGTAAATGTCTTTACCACTGTAAAGTATATCAGAATATAGAGCCTGTCTGCCCTCCCTCAGTGACTTCAAATTTGTTCCATAGAGTATAGGACAGGGTAGAATTTGGCCAAAAATCTCTTATTCTAATGGGCCAAATCCCATTACTGTTGAAGTCAATGGGAGATTTGCCTTTGACTTCAGTGGAATTAGGATTTGGCCTTTTATGCATCAAGGAGGAAAATCTAGAATATTGCTACAATTTAATAGTTGGTTAGATAACTTGGATATTTTTTTCCAAGTGTGTTGATGTGTTCAGGAACCTGCTCCTTCAAGGAGACAACTTACTAGCATGCTAGTAACTCTCCTTTTCCATTCTCTGGATATCCTACTAGTAATAATAATGCTTCCCACTTCTATGATTCCTTTCATACAAGAACCTCTAAGTGTTTATTAATATTCATTAAGGTCCACATCATCCCAGCAGGTAGGGTAAGAACACCTATTCCCATTGTACAGACAGGGAAAGCGAGGCACTGGTTAATTGACTGGCACAAGGTGACACAGCAAATCACTGGCAAAGCTGGGAACTGAATGCAGGTAACCTGACTTGTCATCCCCAACTCTAGACCTCACTGTCTCCAGATTAGGAAAACTGGGCCAACTTCATTCATCCCTGGGGTAACTCTTCTGAGTTGGTGGAGTTACCCTGGAGATTAATTTGTCCCACTATGTTCCATTTTTAATCTTAAATGGATGGACATGTTTAGTTTTACCAAATTTAATAGAAACAGAAATTGTAATTACCCTGCTGTAATATTAGTAAGGGTCTCGTTTGCAGAGTTGAATTCACTCACTCTGGCATCCAAAAGTTGGCTAACTGTAGCCACTGCAGCCTCTATAGCATTCTGACAAACAGAAAAGAGGGAAATATTCAGTAGGAATGGCATACGAACTCACTTCTTTTAATACGCTGTATTGTGATCGAATATTTTGTTAACACTTGCCTTAATCAAAAGGAAATAGAATAAGTAACCCTCTTCTCCCCAGCCCTGTCTGCCTCGCCTTCCATCCCTTCCTTTTTCTTTCCATTTAGCTGATCCCCTCCTAAATAAATTCCCCCAAAATAAACAAACGAACAAACAAACAAGACAAACAAACTCCTAATGTGGAACTAACATAATATTTAGTGACGGCAGGTTTCAGAGTGGTAGCCGTGTTAGTCTGTATCAGCAAAAAGAATGAGGAGGACTTGTGGCACCTTAGAGACTAACAAATTTATTTGGGCATAAGCTTTCATGGGCTAATACCCACTTCATCAGATGCATGCAGTGGAAAATACAGTAGGAAGATAAAAATACAGAGAACATGAAAAAATGAGGGTTGTCGTACCAACTCTAACGAGACTAATCAATTAAGGTGGGCTATTATCAGCAGGAGAAAAAAATCTTTTGTAGTGATAATCAGGATGGCCCATTTCAAACAGTTGACAAGAAGGTGTGAGTAACAGTAGGGGAAAAATTAGCATGGGGAAATAGTTTTTAGTTTGTGTAGTGACCCATCCACTCCCAGTCGTTATTCAAGCCTAATTTAATGGTGTCCAGTTTGCAAATTAATTCCAGGTCCGCAGTTTCTCGTTGGAGTCTGTTTTTGAAGTTTTTTTGTTGAAGAATTGCGACTTTTAGGTCTGTAACTGAGTGTCCAGGGAGGTTGAAGTGTTCTCTGACTGGTTTTTGAATGTTATAATTCTTGACGTCTGATTTGTGTCCATTCATTCTTTTGCGTAGAGACTGTCCGGTTTGGCCAATGTACATGGCAGAGGGGCATTACTGTTACTCACACCTTCTTGTCAACTGTTTGAAATGGGCCATCCTGATTATCACTACAAAAGTTTTTTTTCCTCCTGCTGATAATAGCCCACCTTAATTGATTAGTCTCGTTAGAGTTGGTACGATAACCCCCATTTTTTCATGTTCTCTGTATATATATCTTCCTACTGTATTTTCCACTGCATGCATCTATGAAGTGGGTTTTAACCCACGAAAGCTTATGCCCAAATAAATTTGTTAGTCTCTAAGGTGCCACAAGTTCTCCTTGTTCTTATAACATTTAGAGGCATTTTGCTTATGTGTTATACCCTTTCCCCCACCTTGTGTGTTGTGTCTATCCTGTCTATTTAGAGTGTAATCTCTTCAGGACAGGGACCATTTACTACTCTGTTTATGAAGTGCCTAGCACAATGGGGCCCCACTCTTGGTTGGCCTTTAGGGACTACCGTAATAAACCTGTTAAATAAAAATGTTAAATAAAAATGAGCTATTAGTAGGGAAAAAAGGCTTTGAGCCAACGGATGCATAGGCACCTTACATTATTCGAATGTAGATAGGCAAAAAAAAAAAAGGTTAATGTAGGACATCAGGTTCAGTTGATGCCAATATTTGAATTTCAAATGCACAAAATTTAAAGTGATTGATAGAGATGAATCCACCATGTTATCCCAGAAACTGAGATAGGGACATTCCACTAAGATGCTTGAGATCTGAACTCAGGTGCACTGTTTAATAGCTCAATGTATCGCAACTAGATTAGATACTTGGGTTTTGTTGTTGTTTTTTATTAAGTGAAACCAAAAAGACTGATTTTCCGTGGGGCTAGGAAAAGTGTCCCAAACATCCTGCTATATCCTATTAAGCCATAAAACAAAATACTTTTTTAGTCTTGGTGATTCTCACCTTAGAATCATTTTTCAGAATTTGCTCTGCAATATTAGCAGCATGAGAGATGTTCTCGGTGGTCAGTTTCTCCGGCACAGAAGTAAGGATCTGGGTATTACTGGCAATGGTCTCTAAGTCGACGTGACTGCGTAACTGTTAGAAAAATGGTACATCACACAAAGAAAATATACAGTGGCCATTTTTATACCCATTCTCTAATGAAATAAAAGAATAGCAGGTTCACAGCCAAATTATTTGCTCTATAAACTGACACAGCTCCTATTAACTCAATAGCTCTGTGCCAGCTTACATCAGCAAGCAGAGAATTTGGCCCACTGTACACAGTCACTTCTCCCACTCATAGAAACACAATAAGATCTTGTCTAGATGACTAAAGGTATGTTTACACTGCAATAAAAGACCCAAGGCTGGCCTGGGTCAGCTGACTTGGGCTTGCGGGGGAGTGGAGGGGGCCTTGGGCTGTGGAGCTGTAAAATTACACAGTAGGTGTTTGGGCTTGGGCTGGGCTGGAGCCCAGGTTCTGAGAACTTGCGGGTCTTTTATCATTGTAGACCTACCCTGAGCTTCTGAATCCATGGACTTCTGTAGCCCCTTCCACTCACAATGTGTGCTACATAAACAGAATTAGATTTGAAACGACTTTAGGAAGCCACCAGAAGAACAAAGGAAACACCATACTAGAGTAGCTTAGTCCTTCTCTAAGTAGTTCTAGTATAACTGATAAATCTTTAAATGATAACACTTGAGTGAAGCTCTGAGATATAAAGTGCATTATGTGCATGTTACATACAAACATGAACATTATTGAGGTTGCAAAATTAAGCTCAAATAGGAAATGTCAGAATTAACATTGCCCATGCAACCTTAATTACCCCTCCCACCCCCATGTACTGTTTGTGATAGATACCATTGTGATACAGTCTTTAATTACATGGTCACATACTATTTTTGGCACAGGACCCCTGCCTCATTCAGGGGCTGGACCGTCTCTGCGGGGTGAGTCAGGCTTATGTAGTAAAGGAGGTTGTTGTCTGCAGGACCCCTGCTTCATTGTTGCAGAAGTTGGAAAGGGTGTAGTGAAGGAGGCAGGAGACTGACGGAAAAGAGGATGATCTCATGGTTATGACAGCTGAATGCTGACCTAGATAATTGGATTCATGTGCCCGTATGCCTTATTTACTGCACACTATTTAAACCCTGCCCTGGATATAGTATTAATTTCTCATGGCACCTATCACTATTATATCTGTGTGCTTCCAAATCCTTAGTTTATTTTCAGATTATCCCTATGTTACAGATGGGGTACTGAAACACAAAGATTACAGTCAGAAATATCCACCAATTTGGGGTTCCCAACTTGAGACTCCTATGACCTGATTTTTTCAGAGTACTTACCATTGAGAGTACAGGAGAAACAGTCTGGGTTATGGGCCTTTAAAAGGTGGTAATTCCTGATCATTGCAGATATAGCTTTCCCAAATTTTCCATCATCATTTGTAACTGAAAAATGTTGAGTGTTCTTTAAAATTCACTATGTGGCAGTATAAAACTTCAAAAATTAAAAAAAATATTGTGGGCAACAATTTAAACTGAAAACACAAGTACAGAGCCTTTGATATTACTATTATTACTAGTAGTAAAAATTTATATTATGGTAGCTCCCTGAGGCCCCAGTCTGACACTGTTCAGAAGAAGAGAGACAAACCCTGCCCTGATAGGCTCACAATCTAAAGATGCAAACAGAACAAGGATAGAGTTGGTGACAGTACCTGGGAGCAAATAAACATGATGAAGAATTGGCACATCTTTGCTAGTTACATGGATTGTAGCTTTTTTGTTTTGTTTTATTTTGTTTTAAACTGGAGTTGAGATAGGGAAGTAGTGAGTAGGAAAAGAAAAAAGGGGAAAACACTATAAAGCAAAAAGAGTACAACACCTCTAAAAGAAGGGCTGTTTCTTTATATGTTCAAAGCACAGATCCCATTGACTTTAATTTGCAGCTCTGGGTGCTCAGCACTTCTGCAAATCAGACCCCACGGTCTCAAGCTGGGCAACAGAAAAAGAGGAACACACAACTCGGGATCTCCTGTGAAAAGTCTGGTTTCAGTGACTTGCCCAGCATCACATAGGAACTCTGTGGCAGAGGCGAGGATAGAATCCAATTCTTTAAGACAGTATTTACCTATGAGAACATCATTTCTGTTCCTGCAATCCACACCCTCATTCACTACTGTGACAGGGTCAGGCCAGATGGCTCCAGGAGACTAATAGAAGGCAGATATATTAGCCCCCAGTTAAGTAGGTCCCTTTTCCCTGGGTAAGGAAACAGGAAAGGTTCCGGAACAATCAGGAACCTCTGGAGACAATTAAGACAGACAGGCTGATTAGAACACCTGCAGCCAATCAAGAAGCAGCTAGAATCAATTAAGGCAGGCTAATCAGGGCACCTGGGTTTTAAAAAGGAGCTCACTTCAGTTTGTGGTGCGCATGTAAGGAGCTGGAAGCAAGAGGCACTAGGAGCTGAGAGTGAGAACGCGGACTGTTGGAGGACTGAGAAGTACAAGCATTATCAGACACCAGGAGGAAGGTCCTATGGTGAGGATAAAGAAGGTGTTGGGAGGAGGCCATGGGGAAGTAGCCCAGGGAGATGTAGCTGTTGCACAGCTGTTCCAGGAGGCACTCTAGACAGCTGCATTCCACAGGGCCCAGGGCTGGAACCCGGAGTAGAGGGCAGGCCCGGGTTCCCCCCAAACCTCCTGACTCCAAGTCAGACACAGGAGGAGTTGACCTGGACTGTGGGTTCACAAAAACAGCCAGACTGAGGGCTGCCATGAAGCTCCAAGGAGAGCAAATCCACCAATAAGCGCAAGACCCACCAAAGTAGAGGAGGAACTTTGTCACACTACACACTTTCCAACTTCTACCATAATTGAGGCAGAGATCTTATAGGGTACATCTACACAGCAAAAAAAATCCCATGGCAGCAAATCTCAGAACTTGGGTCAACTGACTCATGCTTGCAGAGCTCGCACTACAGGGCTAAACATAGCACTGTAGACATTTGGGCTCAGACAGGAGAGTCTGAAAGCCAGGGTTGCAACCCTAGCCCAAATGTCTACACTGCTATTTTTAGCCCCTAGACTAATCCCAAGTCAATTGACCAAGGCTGTGACATGTGCTGCCATGTTTGTTTGTTTGTTTTTGAAGTGTAGATGTACCCATTGACAACAGTCTCCTTCACTGTATAACCCTGATTCATCCCCAGAGCAGGTCCATCCTGTGCAATGAATGATGCAGGGGTCATGTGGAAAAATAGTATGCGATCATATAATTAAAGACTGTATCATAATGTACATACAACAATGGGACTGAATTAGGTTTTCACATGCAACTGTGATTAATCCTGGCATTTCCTAATTTATGTGTGCTTGATTTTGCAAGCTTAATGTTCTTTTAACATCATTTTTTTAATGTAACTTATATAAGGGCTGATCAAAAATTTACCGTCAAAATTTAGGTTTGATGGAAAATTGGGTTGAGAAAACAGAAATTTTTCACAAAAAGTATCAGCTTTCCACAGACATTTTTTTTAACTTTTCCATCAAAAAATAGAAATGCTGAAAACCAAACACATTTCAGTCAAAAAACCTAAAAATGTATGTTTTTAAACAAGAACTTTTACAGAAGAAACTATAACCTAAACTGAAACAAGGAGTAAGATGTGAAAGAGTCCTAATAGGGAATGTAGTCCATCCCTAGGCCAGTGGGTGTTTGCTCCTTACGTTATGTTCCCCAGTGCTATATCCACTAGCTTTCAGAGGCTCAAGTGACTTTCACTACTTCCTTTGGAAAAATATTGTACAATCTGACCTTACCATTTGGTAACTATCCTGATATTCTGCCTATATTCATCCCATTACTCCTGATGTGACCAGCCTGAACAAGTCATTTTCTTCCTTGGTGTTTACACCCTTCAAATACATGTAAGCATTTATAATATCCATTCTACATCAGATTTGGCTGTGCTGTACATTAGTATTAGATTTTAATTTTTCAACATAAATTGGTTCCTCCAGCCCCTTGATATGTTCTGTTTCTGTTCTTTAAATCCCCTCCAGTTTGTTCTCTACCACCTGCTACTTGAGCTGCCCAGGAACTGAACACAATATTCTAGATGTGGTTTCTCTGTGTATCTCCTTTCCTGGTTTGCATATATCTGCAGTAGTTTCAAGGGCATAGGGATTTCCACACAGCAAAGATGTAAGAGTCATTATTGCTAGTCCAGTAACAATCTCAGCAAGTTTCATAGCTGCAAGCTGATTAACAAAGACAACACTAATCTTACTCCCTGGACACAAAATTCCACTTGTTCATAGGGTGAAAACTACTATTTCCCACTTAAATGTAACTGTAATTTTTAATATATTTAAGCACAGCAGGATAGCCCACTTACATAGTTCCTTGAAAAGCTCTTCATGTGCACATTAATGGTGAATACAGAAGTATAGTTTTCAACTGCATTTACTAGAAATAAAATTATCAGGGGTTTTCATAGAATCATAGAAGGAACCTGGTAGCCAATGCATAACTGTTTCCTACAATACACTTTCTAGTTTTGGTCCAGTGTAGTTTAAAATCTCAAGTGACAGAGTTTCCACCACTTCCTTTGAGAGACTACTCCATCCTTGATGTTTATGCCAGCCCTTCAAAGACATGTATGCTGCTATGCTTAGTCATCACTTAGCTGAACCACAAACATTTTGATCCTGATTCTGCAGAGATGCGCAAAGGTGCAACTATGCTGAATTCCATTGCTTATGTGTCTTTTATGTCTTAATCCTTTCTAAAGTCTTAATCCATCCCCTTGACCATTTTTATTGACTTCTCCACAATCCTTCCCATATGTCAGTACAGTATCTTTAGAACAATGTAGAGACCAAAACTGAATGTACTATTCCAGGTGTGGTTGTTAATTACAATCCAAATTGTCTGATGAGAGCTGGATGAAAAAATTGCTGCAAATCATTTGGTCAACAAATGTTGCCTCTATTTCCCTTTTCATATTGTCCAGAAACAAATCATAATTATTCACTAATCAAAACTGTTAATCAAATCTTTTGGAAAAGTTTTTAGTCTCTAGCTTGTTTGCGACAAGTTTGTTGCAAAGATTCAAAATTTAAAATTTCATCTATGATGCTTAGTTCTTATTGGACACGTAGATCATACATGTTTCTGTACCCTCATTGGACTGGAATAATTCTCACAATCAGATTTCCTGTTTGAATACTCATGTTTGCAAGTTCAATAGTTATTTTACAGGAATATTCTCTAATATACTGGTATACTTACAATAGTTTCCATGAACGTTCCTATCAGTAAATTTGTAAATATTCCCAGAAAATAAACATAAGGGCATGAAGAGCCAAAGTAAAACATTAAATTTTAAATGAACAAATATTCATGGATTTTTTTAAAAAGTAGTCACCCTGAATGGGATTTTCAAAGGTGCTTAATGGAGTTAGCCACCCAATGCCCATTGTCTTTCAGTGAAATTTGGGTGCTCAAAACCCTTACGCACATTTGAAAATCCCACCTCTGTGTATACCTAACTATAAATTACGATGAGCATCAAATTGTCATATCTGAGTCAATGCTTCTGCTGATCTGAATCAGAACAATTATCAGACTAATTATTTTACAATTTGTCGAGTAATCACTAATACTCCTAAAAAGCAAGTCACATGGTAGAAAGTGTGAAAGTTAGGGGAAGGAGGTGGTGTACATTTCGGTTTGGAAGTGCCAAACTTCATCCGAGCAAATCAGAAAGTTAAAAACAACAACAAGAACAAAAACCTAGTAGGAGACAGGAAAACTGACTTTCTTTCCATATTGGAATGGGTTCTAGAACCTTGCAACTTCATAAATCTGCACAGCTATACTCTAAGAAGGCATAAAAGTTTGCAGGCTCATGAGTTTTAAAATAATTAGCAAAAAAACCCTATACTTTGGAATATCCACTTCAGAGAAAACCTAGGGGACAATGTGTAAACTTAAGTCTCCTCTCTTTTCTCCCAAATTATTTTAGGGTGGAGTTTTCAAGAGTGTTCAGCATTGAACTCTGCTCCCACTCAATTCAAATGGGAAGTCGCAGGCCAAAAGTGAGTGCTTTTGAAAATCCCACCTTTATTTAGTTTCTGTATATGCAGCTGTACTGTAATATGGAATCATATCTGATGGCTTGAAACAGGTTGAAAGCTTCATTATATTTTATATCAGTTTTATTGATGAAGACAAATCTGTTATTTATTCTATTTTCTAATGAACCTATCTTTATAAATCTGTGACATACCATTTTACAGTAATGAAAAGTTTAGTTCTTAAAAAGTGGGCAAATACTCACTGGGCTAGGGAAGAGCAAAGCAGCCAGAAGGTACTGGTGATTTTAGCCCACTGTTTCTTGTTTCAACCAACTCTGCATTTGGAATCCATATCCCAAACTCAGACCATGAAGGTCATTATAGCCCCCCTTCACTGTAGTTGTAGCAATGGCATATTAAACGGCATATTAAACAATAGGATTACCTGATCCATTAGGGTATTCAGGGTCATACTGCAATTCACAAACTTCACATCGCCTAGTTCAGGTTTTCCTTTTATTTTGGAGCACTTCCGGCTTGCTTTTGGAGTACCAGCTTTAATTTAAAAAAAAAAAAAAAAAAAGTCCCTTCACAGTCATATGATGTCAGCATTCTTTGCAGGTCCCCGTTAACCCTGAAGATTTTTAAAATTGTTTCCAGTAACTCTCATTCATATAAGTAACACTTATTCGGACAAGTAGTGCTATGGATGTCATTGGGTTTATTCATGTAAATAAGGGAAAGATTAGTCACATAAGTAAGGATTGTAGAATCATACCCCTTAAGTAGGTAATTTTTTCCCCCACAATAGGTTTGAAAATTTATCACAGGTTACCAGAAGAAATATAGCGGAGGCTGTAACAATATAAATATTACTGAACAAAAAGATGTCCTACACATCATCAGACATTGTAAGTAGTGTAAGCTTACTGTGTTATATAATATTCAACTGACCCCATTAAAAACCTCTTTCCTACTCCTGTTTTCTACTTACAAAATACCCACAATCCAATCAGAATAAATGGATGATATTTAAATAACTTTTCCTGAAACCTTTTTCTATGTCATATGGTGCAATTAAATTAATTCTCTGCACAGTAGTAGCTGACTTAATTACCACCTAATAACTGTTCAGTGGCTTATGTGATATGAGTTAGTGATCTCAGTCCAGTTCCAAGTGGCCAGGTATCCCACGCACAAAACTCACCATTCAGGACTAGCATTTTTGCTGGCCATCTTGGAGACCAAAGACATAAAGAGTAAATTATATTTATTTACACTGACATATGGAGACTAAATTACCTCTTCACCTTCATAGGGATCAGCATCAAAACATAGTGGCAATGCAGTGTGGGAAGGGCTGTATCTGTTCAGGGTTTAAAGAGAGGACTTCCATTTCCTGGTCTGATAAGCTGACATCTTTCACCAGCCATAAATTCACCTTTGGGGGGAGGGAGAGGGGGGTGGAGAGAGGAAAGAAACACCTACCGTTTGCAGTGAAGTTTTCACATTTTTCTGCAGAATAGCCATATCTGTCTACTACAATTCTTGTAAAAGTAAATATTTCTTCCTTGACTTTGTAAGTACTATCTGCACAGAAATTAGCTGTATAGGGAACAAAATACATTCAGATTAAATACTCTCATTATGTAGAGCAATTTTCAAGAACACAAAATATAAAGCTATAAAGGAGGTGATTATAACTTTAGACTTGTGACTTAAAGCAGTGGTTTTCAACCTGTGCTCCATGGACTCCTGGGGGTCTGCAAACTGTTTAAGATTTTCAAAGGGGTCTGCACCTCCATTCAAAATGTGTAGGGGTCCACAAATGACAAAAGGTTGAAAACCACTGCCTTAAAGGGACAATTACAGAGACAAAGTGGGTGAGGCAATGTCTTTTTGTGACACTCAGCCAGAAAGGGTTGAGCAACTAGCAGGCTAAATGACCCAAATTCAACCTTTATTAGAAAAATATATAAAATAGTAATTAGGACCATTCCTTACAAATAGCTAACAAAGCCATGTTAGATAAACTAGAACTTTGAAATGCAAACCTGTATTGTAGAGAATAAGAGGTAAATACTAACTGTATGTGTTTACCTATCTCTTGTTAGATGTTAACCATGTAACCAGATTAGCTTGTGGATGCTAACTCCCTTTTGTGTTTTAATTATATTATGCTTATGGATGGTTCAGTTAACCTTAAGATCGAAGATGTAAGATATTGCAGGAAATAATATTACTCACATTGTCTTCAGTTTAAATTGTCTGTGCCATAATGGAATGCCTTGATAGTTTGAATGGATAATTGCCTTATGTTCATAGAATCATAGAATATCAGGGTTGGAAGGGACCCCAGAAGGTCATCTAGTCCAACCCCCTGCTCGAAGCAGGACCAATTCCCAGTTAAATCATCCCAGCCAGGGCTTTGTCAAGCCTGACCTTAAAAACCTCTAAGGAAGGAGATTCTACCACCTCCCTAGGTAACACATTCCAGTGTTTCACCACCCTCTTAGTGAAAAAGTTTTTCCTAATATCCAATCTAAACCTCCCCCACTGCAACTTGAGACCATTACTCCTCGTTCTGTCATCTGCTACCATTGAGAACAGTCTAGAGCCATCCTCTTTGGAACCCCCTTTCAGGTAGTTGAAAGCAGCTATCAAATCCCCCCTCATTCTTCTCTTCTGCAGGCTAAACAATCCCAGCTCCCTCAGCCTCTCCTCATAAGTCATGTGTTCCAGACCCCTAATCATTTTTGTTGCCCTTCGCTGGACTCTCTCCAATTTATCCACATCCTTCTTGTAGTGTGGGGCCCAAAACTGGACACAGTACTCCAGATGAGGCCTCACCAATGTCGAATAGAGGGGAACGATCACGTCCCTCGATCTGCTCGCTATGCCCCTACTTATACATCCCAAAATGCCATTGGCCTTCTTGGCAACAAGGGCACACTGCTGACTCATATCCAGCTTCTCGTCCACTGTCACCCCTAGGTCCTTTTCCGCAGAAAATGTTAATTAATACTACTAGTTTACTTGTGTATACATAGGAAATAGGGATTTTTAGTTCAAAGCAATTCATGTGCATTACCTACTCTTCATTCAAGGAACGCCTGCTGTGTTATTATACTGTCAAAAGGCTATCAGAGCCTGCCAGAGATCTATAAAAGAATTCTAGGGCCCCGATCCTGTACTTGAGATCTTCTTAAACTTGGTCAGGGGAAACCTGAGTTGGAATGCTGAAGTCTCCAGCTCCAGTCTGGATTAGCCTGCTAATTCTCATGGAAGAATTTGAACAAACTCTATATATGGACTGCCTATTTGGACTATAACCTGAAAAAATGATTCTGAAAAGAACTTTTTGCAACTCAGCAGCTCACCATCTCTACTATGAAACTGACATAAGAACTCTATTCATATCTGTACGTATAATGATCTTTTAACCACAATACTCTTTCTTCTTTTTTTATAAATCTTAGTTTTGGCTGTAAGCATGTATTTGGGTAAGATCTGAAATATTCACTGACCAGTTGGGTAATGTGTCTGATCCCTTGGGATTGGTAGAACTTTATGTATGATGAAAAAGATTTTCAATAATCCTCATCATAGTTGACTTGGCTGTCTGGGTGGGAGCCCAGGGCTGGGTTGCTTTAAGGGAGCTGTGTATTTGGCTTCTGGGTAACCAGTAAGGTATTGCAGAAGCTCTTTTGTTGCTGGCTTGGTGGATCTAATTACTAGAATAACCACCAGTTTTAATCAGATGCCCCATTCTTTGCACTTTGCCATGATTGAGCAACCTCAGTCTGGCCTCTCCAAGCGACAACGGTCACACTTGTATTGGACCAACTTCTGTTGGTGAGAGAGACAAGCTTTAGAGCCACACACAGCTCTTCTTCTGGTCTCACTGCATACAACAATTAAAGGGACATTGTGAAGTTACAAATTATGGGCTGGATCCTCAGCTGTTGTAGCTCCACAGAAGACAATGTAAGGGATTAGACCCTTACTTTTCACTATCTGTGCTGCCTGTATTTTGTGGGGTTTGGACAATGAAAATAGACTAGCCACTAGCCACATTCTAGTGCCGTGGCAAAATGTGGGAATATCTACATCAAATACTTAAGGACCATGTTTATTTGCTATTTGAATAGAATTACAGAGGGAGCTGGTATCGACCAATATATTTAGGTTGCCTAACCCTGTCATTCTAAAAGTTTCCTGCAACCTTTTCTTTGAGAAACCTTCACACCTCCATCGCTTGCAGCAGATTTTTGATACTCAGCAGGGGAATCCCCTCAGGGTAGCAAAATGCCTACTCTTTGTCCAACGAAATTCTGTTCAGCTTTTCCTCAACTGTTACAAATCACCATTTCCCTCCGCTCTCATGAAAAAAGCTGGGCTCTCCCTCAAACACCCACCAGACCTATCAGTACTCTCTCCCTTTATGGTAGTGGTCTTCTCCTGCTACCTGCTAACATAGCTAGCCCCATAGCTTTATTAAGTGGTAGCAGTCAGTGTTGCAGAACTGAAGTTTCAGGTGAGGGTGCTGCTGAGGACAGGGAGATTGGTTTAGCTGCACATTGTGATGCTGTAGGAAATAATGTGAGAGACTTTATGATATTATTGATACCAATATTATAAAATTGCAATGAATCTTACCAGATATGCTGTGTAAGGTATCAGTGAAAACATTCGCAAAAAGAAAAGGAGTACTTGTGGCACTTTAGAGACTAACCAATTTATCTGAGCATGAGCTTTCGTGAGCTACAGCTCACTTCATCGGATGCGTACCGTGGAAACTGCTGAAGACATTATATACACACAGAGACCATGAAACAATACCTCCTCCCACCCCACTGTCCTGCTGGTAATAGCTTATCTAAAGTGATCATCAAGTTGGGCCATTTCCAGCACAAATCCAGGTTTTCTCACTCTCCCCCCCCCCCCCCCCCACACACACACACAAACTCATTCTCCTGCTGGTAATAGCCCATCCAAAGTGACCACTCTCTTCACAATGTGTATGATAATCAAGGTGGGCCATTTCCTGCACAAATCCAGGTTCTCTCACTCCCTCACCCCCCTCCAAAAACCACACACACAAACTCACTCTCCTGCTGGTAATAGCTTATCCAAAGTGACCACTCTCCCTACAATGTGCATGATAATCAAGGTGGGCCATTTCCAGCACAAATCCAGGTTTTCTCACACCCTCACCCCTATACACACACAAACTCACTCTCCTGCTGGTAATAGAACCTGAACTAAGGACTGAATGACCCATCCAAGCTTTGGATGTGTTCCAAAGGGACTCTACAAGTCAGCAAACTCACCAATACTGCTAAGAACCCGATATATACAATCTGGAGTCTTATGTATATATCTGACTGCTATTACCATTTAACAACTCTCTTCATGTTTTTTCTTTTCTTTTCTAATAAACCCAGTTTAGTTTTAGATTCTAAAGGATTGGCTGGCAGCATGGTATTTTGGGTAAGATCCAAACTAATATTGACCTGGGGTAATGTGGCTGACTTTTTGGGGTTCAGAAGAACATTTTGTATACTGAACAGAGTTGTTTAATAAGTCCTCACTGTACTGGACCTGTGTGCTGATTGGGAGCCAGAGAACTGGAATGCAAAAAAGGGGGCTGTGTGATTTTTTTCTTTTTTTTTTTTTCCCCCTTGCTTCCTGATAACTAGTGTGTGTGGGCAGGGGGGATCAGGAGCAAAGTTTGTGACTGGTTGGTGAGCCTAACTTTAGAGTTAACCACGCATTTTGGGAGAATATGTCTCCTTTTGGCAGCGTGCCCTGACCTTGGCATTTTCAGGGTGGGCTACTCTAGACACCTACAGGTCACACATATGATGTGATTTGTTTTTACTTTTTTTACTCTTTAAAAAAAATGCAACCTAGGAGATTACATGTAAAAAAAATCCCGATGTGAGAAGAACGTTATTTGGGTCGCAAAGACAAGAACTTGAAAGTCAGCAAATACCAGATTTATTTATTGGCCATGCAACCTTAATTCTGTGCCTTTGTGCATGTGCATTACAGATTAGTGGGAAATTATCTCATTTTAGGTTTTGTAAAGATTTGTTTTTACAAAACTTAAATTTTGGTCCAAATGAGAGCTGATTGTGTCCTTTTAACAAACATAATGTTTGCAAATCCAGTTTTGTTTTGTGGTCTTCTTTTGTATAGCAAAAGAGATGATTAGTAACATTTGTAAGCAGAGTCAGGATGAGCTCCACCCTGACATCTGGTGGTGAGATGTGCAAGTTGTGGAAAAGAACTTCAGGGGCTGATCTCATTTGCATAGGCACACCCACCCCGCCTAGAATGAGGCCATAACTGCCCAAATGGTCACTTTGGCTGTTGTGGGATCCCCAGTGTCTCTGTTATTGGGGCGGGAAGAATAAATTGTTATTACCCTGATTATGGGAACTGTGCTTGGAACTGTACCTGGCCTTTTGTTATGCTGGAGGGACTCTCCACCAACTAAGTAGCACTCGCTAGGCAAGGGACATGGGTTCCAAAACTCTGTGAATTGAGAGAGGCTTGAGACAGGTATTAGTACCTGGTGGTGTGGGCTACTTTGTGAGGGCCTGAAACACCAATTGCACCTCTGTCTCTCTCCACTGTGGAATGTCAGAGCTAATTTTGGGTCTATTAAGAGTCTTGCTACAGGTACTGTGCTGAATTCACTTTGGCCTTATGGTGCACCAGCACTAAGGCTCCCACTACTATGAGCTGAAATCACTGAGCACTGTGTCAAGTAGTGGGGAGCCGGAAGATCTAGAGTGCAGTGGTGCTGTTCGTGGATAGACTGGCGGAGTGTTTGTGAGACGGCAAGGTGAGCTGTGCAGAGTGGAGCTGTTCGTGAGACAGCGGAGTGTTCGTGAGATGGTGAGCTGAGCAGAGCTGTTCATGAGACGGCGGAGTGGAGTGTTCGTGAGATGGCGAGCTGTGCAGAGCGGAGCTGGTCATGGTGGAGCAGAGCTGTTTGTGAGACAGCGTAGC